ACACACACACACACACACACACACACACACACAAATATTTTTTCAGAGACAGGATCTTGCTGTGGTGCCCAGTCTGGTCTTGAAGTCCTGGCCTCAAGCAGTCATCCGTCTTGGGCCTCCCGAAGTGCTGGGATTACAGGCATGAGGCACCATGCCCAGCCTAATAATAAAATATTAAAAGGATTTTTAGCTGGTCTTTTTGAAGCATTTTGAAGTTAGTAGAATTATAGTCTTTTTTTTTTTTTTTTTTTGAGACAGAGCTTCACTCTTGTTACCCAGGCTGGAGTGCAATGGTGCGATCTCGGCTCACCGCAACCTCCGCCTCCTGGGTTCAGGCAATTCTCCTGCCTCAGCCTCCCTAGCAGCTGGGACTACAGGCACGTGCCACCATGCCCAGCTAATTTTTTGTATTTTTAGTAGAGACGGGGTTTCACCATGTTGACCAGGATGGTCTCGATCTCTTGACCTCGTGATCCACCCGCCTCGGCCTCCCAAAGTGCTGGGATTACAGGCTTGAGCCACCGCGCCCGGCCTTATAGTCTTTTGATGAATGGAAAGAATGCGAAATACTTGGTGGTACTAAATGAAATTAGTAAATATATAGAAGAAGCAAAGAACCAAAGCGATCATGTTTTTATAGTTTTTTCCCATTCTTTTTTCTTTTCTTTCTTTTTTTTTTTTTTTTTGAGACAGAGTCTTGCTCTGCCGCCCTGGCTGGAGTACAGTGGTGTCCTCTCGGGTCATTGCAAACTCTGCCTTCCAGGTTCAAGCGATTCTTCTGCCTCAGCTTCCTGAGTAGCTGGGATTACAGATGTGGACCACCATGCCCAGCTAATTTTTGTATCTTTAGTAGTGATGGGGTTTCACCGTGTTGGCCAGGATTGTCTTCAACTCCTAAACTCAGGTGATCTGCCCATGTTGAACTCCCAGAGTGTTGGGGTTACAGGCATGAGCCACTGCACCTGGCCTTTCCCATTCTTTTATCCAGCATACATTATAGAGTTCGTTAGATTTGTCAGGTATTGCTATGGCCCCTGCACTCATTATCATCTAGTTGGGGAAACAAGCCACTAAATCCACAAGAATTGCGATGATGCAGGTGCTCACAGATTTGCAAAGAAGAAAATGGACGTGCCTATCAGATTGGAGAGTTAGAAAAGCCTCCCTGCACGGAGTGTGACGAGTGTGAATTAGGGGGATGAGAAGGGGAGGCCGCAGGGAGTCAGGACAGTATGACTGGGGCACCGGGTCTGAGCTGAGCATGGAGGTCGTCAAGTGGGAAGGACACGGGACACACAGGCCACAGTGAAGCCTGACCTTTGTCCTGGAAGCTATGAGGAGCTGGTGAAGGCTTCTAGAGAAGAGAGTGACATGTCAAGTATGTGTTTTGGAATACTGTGTTGGCCACAGGGTGGAGAAAGGGTTGGGAGTAGTTTACTCTAGAGCCCAGGTGGGGAGCTAGTCAGGGCCTGCAGCCCAGGCAGGGTGCCGGTCACGGCCTGTGCCAAAGCAGTAGGAAGAGGGGGGGAGGAGGAAGTGTCGGGTAGCAGTGTGTGAGTGTCCGAAATCCAGTTGAGTTTGAAAACCAGAACAGTTCTGTAAAAAAACAATGATTTCCGGCTCTACTCTTTGGTTGATGTTAATTTTCAGTAGGGCACGGTGGTTAAGCATCTAGGTTGAACATTTTGTAGGAAAATGCATGTATAAAGGACTCAAATACTGTTGTTTATTTTTTTCAGAATTCTTTGTTGCTTGAAGCGGTGTGGCATCTTCATGTACAAAGCATTGTGAGCCTGCAGGAGTTGCTGGAAAGGTAGTGTACTAATGATTCAGTGTTACTGTTTTCGCAGTCCAGTCTAAATTACATTTCAAAGCCAAGAATCAGGATTATGCATTGCATATTTCTCCAGACTAGGCCTGGAGAAACCATTGTTTTATTATTTCAAGAAAACATTTGTTTTAATTGAAGTCTTTTTTTTGGAGACAGGGTCTCACTCTTTATTTTTTTTCTTTGGAGACAGGCTGGATCACCTAAGTAAGGTTAGGAGTTCGAGACCAGCCTGGCCAACGTGGAGAAACCCTGTCTCTACTAAAAATACAAAATATAGCCGGGCATGGTGTTGGGTGCCTGTAATCCCAGCTGCTAGGGAGGCCGAGGCAGGAGAGTCGATTGAACCCGGGAGGCAGAGGTTACAATGAGCTGGGATGGCACCTGCACTGCAGCCTGGGCGCTGGAGCAGGACTTTGTCTCAAAAAAAACAAAACAAAACACGTTTTGCCCAGGCCAGAGTGCAGTGACAACATCATAGCTCCCTGCAGCCTGAACCACTGGGCTCAAGTGACCTCTCCACCTCTGCCTCCAAGGGGCTGGAACTACAGGTGTACATCACCATACCTGGCTACATTTTTAAATTTGTTTCTTTTTTTGTAGAGACAGAGTCTCACTTTGTTGCCCAAGCTGGGGTAATTTTTTTTTTTTAATTACAGATGTCCAGCGTGGTCTCACTCTGTCACTGGGATCTTACTTTCTTGCTCAGGCTGGTCTTGAACTCGGGGGCTCAAGCAATCTTCCCACCTCAGCCTCCCAAAGTGCTGGGATTACAAGCATGAATCATTGCACCTGGCAAGGAATAATTTTTTTTTTTTTTTTTTTTGAGGTGGAGTCTTGCTCTGTCGCCAGGCTAGAGTGCAGTGGCATGATCTAGGCTCACTGCAACCTCCGCCTTCTGGGTTCAAGTGATTCTCCTGCGTCAGCTTCCCGAGTAGCTGGGACTATAGGCGTCCATCAATGTGCCTGGCTAATTTTTGTATTTTTAGTGGAGACAGGGTTTCCCCATGTTAGCCAGGATGGTCTCGATCTCTTGACCTTGGGATCCACCCATCTTGGCCTCCCAAAGTGCTGGGATTACTGGTGTGAGCCACTGTGCCCAGCGAGAATGATATTTTTTTTTTTTTTTTTTTTTTTTGAGACGGAGTTTCACTCATGCTACCCAGGCTGGAGTGCAATGGCACGATCTCGGCTCACCGCAACCTCCGCCTCCTGGGTTCAGGCAATTCTTCTGCCTCAGCCTCCTGAGTAGCTGGGATTACAGGCACGCGCCACCATGCCCAGCTAATGTTTTGTATTTTTAGTAGAGACGGGGTTTCACCATGTTGACCAGGATGGTCTCGATCTCTTGACCTTGTGATCCACCCGCCTCGGCCTCCCAAAGTGCTGGGATTACAGGCTTGAGCTACCGCGCCCGGCCTGATATTTTTTAAAACTAAAAAAGAAACATCCAGGTAAATGTGACTGATAGCATGCATGCAGCTACTTTTATTCTTTCCTGAAATCCCCTTAGGAGTCAAAAAAAGGGAATTTATAAAAAGTATAAAACTATAAAGGTAGGAGAATAAAGGACAGGAAGTAACAGAAAGAAGCAAAACTTGCTGGGCGCAGTGGCTGATGCCTGTAATCCCAGCAGTTTGGGAAGCTGAGGTGGGTGGATCACCTGAGGTCAGGAGTTCAAGACCAGCCTGAGCAATACGGTGAAATCCCATCTTTTAAAAAAAAAAAAAAAAAAAAAAGGAAGCAAAACTTTTTGTTGTTGTTTTGTTCTGTTTTCTTTTGAGACAGTCTCGCGCTCTCAGGCTAGAGTGTAGTGGCACAGTCTTGTCACTGCAATCTCTTCCTCCTGGGTTCAAGAGATTCTCTTGTCTCAGCCTCCCTGCTAGCTGGGATTACAGGTGCCCACCACAGTGCCCGGCTAGTTTTTGTATTTTTATTAGAGACGGAGCTTCGCCTTATTGGCCAGGCTGGTATCGAACCCTTAACCTAAGGTGGTCGGCCTGCCTCAGCCTCCCAAAGTGCTGGGATTACAGGCATGAGCCAATGCACCCACTTAAAAACAAAGCTTTGGAAGCAGGAAACACATGGACCAATAATAATGACCTAGCAAACCTGAGGAAAGCCTATCCTGAACCAGCAGTGTGGAAAGAAGAGACCCAGTTTAGCTTATTGCCTTGATTGGCAGCCTCAGGTTCCTCTGTAGGTAGGGGGTGAAAGACTCGGAAGCATTGATTGAAAGTGTAGGGATGCTGGGCGCGGTGGCTCACGCCTGTAATCCCAGCACTTTGGGAGGCCGAGGCGGGTGGATCACAAGGTCAAGAGATCAAGACCATCCTGGTCAACATGGTGAAACCCCGTCTCTACTAAAACTACAAAAAATGAGCTGGGCATGGTGGCGCGTGCCTGTAATCCCAGCTACTCAGGAGGCTGAGGCAGGAGAATTGCCTGAACCCAGGAGGCGGAGGTTGCGGTGAGCCGAGATCGCGCCATTGCACTCCAGCCTGGGTAACAAGAGAGAAACTCCGTCTCAAAAAAAAAGAAAGTGTAGGGAAAGGGCATCTGGAACCTTGGATCCCCTCCCTTTCTCCTCTCCTAAGCCAGCAGAAGGCAGGAGGTTTATGTGTTACTCTCTTTAGTTTGGGGAAACTGATGCACAGTCAAAAATAGCATACTGGGCCAGGAGCTTGAGGCCAGGAGCTTGAGACCACCCTGGGCAACATAGCAAGACCCCATTAAAAAAAGAACATTAAAAAAAGAAAATGCCATACTGAAACTAGGTGGTGGTGTTACATAGGCTCACGTCAGGATTTCTATATATATATATCTGTCTATGTATATTCATTTATTTATCTTACTCTGTTTATTCTTTTTTCCTTTTTATTTTTGAGATGGATTCTCGCTCTGTTGCCAGACTGGAGTGCAATGGCGCGGTCTTGGCTCACCGCAGCGTCCGCCTCTTGGGTTCAAGCAATTCTCCTACCTCAGCCTCCTGAGTAGCTGGGATTACAGGCATGCGCCACCATGCCCAGCTAATTTTTGTATTTTTAGTAGAAACAGGGTTTCCGCATGTTGACCAGGATGGTCTCTATCTCTTGACCGCGTGATCCACCCACATCGGCCTCCCAAAGCGCTGGGATTATAGGCATGAGCCACCGTGCCTGACCAATTCATTTATTTTTTGAGATGGAGTCTTGTTCTGTCGCTCAGGCTGGATCAGTGGTGCGATCTTGGCTCACTACAACCTCCACCTCCCAGGTTTAAGTGATTCTTTTGCCTCATCCTCCCAAGTAGCTGGGATTACAGGTGCCCGCTACTATGCCCAGCTAATTTTTGTATTTTCAGTAGAGACAGGGTCTTACTGCCTTGGCCAGGCTGGCCTTGAACTCCTGACCTCAGGCAGTCCACCCACGTCAGCCTCCCAAAGTGCTAGGATTACAGGTGTGAGCTACTGTACCCAGCCTACATCAGGGCTGGTTTTTTTTTTTTTTTTTTTTTTTTTGAGAGTTAGAGTCTTGCTTTGTCTCCCAGGCTGGAGTGCAGTCTTACAATCACAACTCACTCCAGCTTTAATCTCCTGGGCTCAAGTGATCCTTCCACGTAACCCTCCCGAGTACCTTGTACTACAGGCATGAGCCACCATACCAGCTAATTTAAAATATTTTTTTGTTTTTTTTGAGACAGAGTCTCCCTCTGTTGCCAGGCTGGAGTGCAGTGATGTGATCTCAGCTCACTGCAGCCTCTGCTTCCCGGCTTTAAGCGAATTTCTTGTCTCAGCCTCCCAAGTAGTTAGGAGTATGGGGGTGCGCCACCACGCCCAGCTTATTTTTGTATTTTTAATAGAGTTGTGGTTTCACTATGTTGGCCAGGCTGGTCTCGATCTCTTGACCTCGTAATCCACCTGCCTTGGCTTCCCAAAGTGCTGGGATTACAGGCCTGCGCCACTGCGCCTGGCCTAAACTATTTTTTAAGATGGAGTTTTGCGTTCGCCTAGGCTGGAGTGCAGTGGCATGGTCTCTACTCACTGCAACCTCTGCCTTTTGGTTTTAAGCAATTATTTGGCCTCAGCCTCCTGAGTAGCTGGGATTATAGGTGCCCACCACCATGCCTGGCTAATTTTTTTTTTTTCTTTTTAATAGAGACAGGGTTTCACCATGTTGGCCAGTTTGGTCTTGAACTCCTGATGTCGTGATTGCCCGCCTTGGCCTCCCAGAGTGCTTCGATTACAGGTGTGAGCCGCTATGCCCTACCTTAACTTTTTTTTTTTTTTTTTTTCTTTTTTTGGATGGAGTTCTCGCTCTGTAGCCCAGGCTGTAGTGCAGTGGTACGATCTCGGCTCACTGCAACTTCCATCTCCTGGCTCCCTGTTCAAGCAATTCTCCTATCTCAGCCTCCCAAGTAGCTGGGATTATAGGCACGAGCCACCATGTCCAGCTAATTTTTGTATTTTTTTTAGTAGAGACGGGAGTTCACCATGTTGGCCAGCCTGGTCTTGAACTTCTGACCTTGTGATCTGCAAACCTCGGCCTCCCAAAGTGCTGGGATTACAGGCGTGAGCCACTCTGCTAGGCCAATTTTTTTTTTTTTTTTATAAAGGCAGGGGGATCTTTTCCTTATACCAAAACAATTCAACATGCATTAAAGGACAAAAAATAATGAGTATATAAAACCACTAGAAGAAATCATGCAAGTCTTTTGCTTTTTGAGACAGAGTCTTGCTCTGTCGCCCAGGCTGGAGTGTGGTTGCATGATCTTGGCTCACTGTATCCTCTGCCCCGCCGCGTTCCAGTGATTCTCTTGCCTTAGTCTTCAGGTAGCTGAGACTACAGGCTCACACCACCATAGCTGGTTAATTTTTGTATTTTTAGTAGAGACGGGGTTTCATCATATTGGCCAGGCTTGTCTTCAACTCCTGACCTCAGGTGATCCATCAGACTTGGCCTCCCAAAGTGCTAGGATTACAGGTGTGAGCCACTTTGCCTGTCCAGGAAGAATATTTTCATAATCTTGAAGTAGGAATGCTTAAATATGACATAAAACCCAGAAGCTGTAAAAGATCAGTAAACTTAATTCCATGAAAAACATGCTTTCTGGCCAGGCACAATGGCTCACAGCTGTTATCTGAGCACTTTGGGAGGCCGAGTCAGATGGATCACCTTAGGTCAGCTGTTCAAGACCAGCCTGATTAACATGGTGAAATCTTGTCTTTATTAAAAATATAAATATTAATGGGATTGTGATGGCATGTGCCTGTAATCTCAGCTACTTGGGAGGCTGAGGCAGGAGAATTATTTGAAGCTGGGAGGCAGAGGTTACAGTGAGCCAAAATCACGCCATTGCACTCCAGCCTGGGCAACAAGAGTGAAACTTCATCTCCAACGAAAAAAAATAAAAGAAAAAGCTGCTTCCTAGTATATACACACCTAATGTCAGAGCACCAAAATCTATGAAGCAAAAATGGGCAGAATTAAAGGGAGAAATAGACATTTCACCAATAATAATTAGAGATTTCAATACCCCCTTTCAGTAATAGGTAGAACAAGTCAGATTGACACAGAAGTTGAATGCTGCAAACTTGCTGACCTGACTGACGGTCAGTAGTAGCAGAATGCTCTTTGTAAGTCCAAATGCAACAGTCCCCAGGATAGGCTGTAAGGTTCAGGCCATGGTCGGGCACGGTGGCTCACGCCTGTAATTCCACCACTTTGGGAGGCTGAGGCAGGCAGATGACCTGAGGTCAGGAGTTAGAGACTAGCCTGGCCAACAGGGTAAAACCCCATCTCTAGTAAAAATACAATAATTAGCCAGGCTTGGTGGCAGGTGCCTGTAATCCCAGCTACTTGGGAGGTTGAGGCTGGAGAATCGCTTGAACCTGGGAGGTAGAAGTTGCTGTGAGTTGAGATCGTGCCGTTGCACTCCAGCCTGGACGACGAGCAAAACTGTCTCAAAAAAGAAAAAAAAAAAAGGTTCAGGCCATAAAACAAATAGGAATAAATTTAGAAGGGTTGAAATCGTTCAGAATACATTCTCCATCCATAAATGAGTTTACTTAGAATTAACAACAGAAGGGAATTGGGAAAATCCACAATATTTGGAAGTTAAACAGCATACTGTGACATAATCAATGGGTCAAAGAAGTCACATGGAAATTGAGAAAATAACGTGAGGTTTGGAGCAGCAGCTTGCACTGGTAATCCCAGAGCTTTGGAAGGCCTGCGTGGGACTCTTGAGCCTAGGAGTTTGAGAGCAGCTTGGGCAAAGTAGTAAGACCTCCAGCGGGGTGTGGTGGTGCATGCCTCTTGTCCCAGCTACTCAGTAGGCTAAAGGGTAAGGATTACTTGAGCCTGGGAGGTCGAGGCTGCAGTGAGCTGTGATGGCACCACTGTACTCCTGCCTGGGTGAAGTGAAAATCTGTCTCAAAAAAAAAAAAAAAAAAAACCTGCCTAATGATGGGATTGAGTTGAGCCAGGCATCCTTGTCCGTGTTTGTCTCCAGCCATCCTGACATGCGTGGTGTGGGAGCGTGGCTCTTCAGGAACCTGTGCTGCCTCTGCGAACAGATAGAAGCATCCTGCCAGCATGCTGATGTCGCCAGGGCCATGCTTTCTGGTATGTTCATGACAAGACATGTGTTCTTGGGTAAAACTCATTTTGATCAGTGGTAACATGCCTTTTGCTATCATGAGCTCTGGGAAGCAGAACAGCCTCTTTCTACCCGTGGCCATGGGAACCTGGCGTGACAACCTCCCAGCCTGAGCCTGTTGTGGGTTGGCATTTAACTTGACTGTTGTGGAAATACTAGTAAGTTGGCCCGTTGTCTTGTGTTAAGTATTTCCATGCACCTTTCTCATAAAGTGACTCAGCTGCTTCTGTTCTGAACCAGCAGACTCTTGCTTTGGCAGTAATTCCTGAGGACGGACATTAGGAGAAAAACTTTGGACTGTAACGTCCCCCCACAAACTAAGAAGGTGCAGAGAGACCAGAGAATGGCTTGGACGAGTGCATCTTAATGAGTAGTCGGGTTTGTCAGGACTTACATGCAGGGCTTTCCTGGACAGCGGCAGGAGACCCCATCTCCAAGCTGCGTTTGGGCCAATTGCCTGGCTCTTTGCTTGTTGTGTTTAGTGATGAGACTATTTTCCTTGTTGAATTCTCAGATCCTCTCTAGGATGTTTGGGTTCTCAGGGACGCCTACTGAGAGACCGATCCCACTACAGATGACACCTACAGATAAAAATTAGATGAGAAACTCACCTGTCAGGCAGCTTGTGGGTTTTTTCCTTTGCAAAAGACATTCTTTTTTCCTAAAATTTCTTGGTGGCATGAGCTACTTAGCATTCCTGAGCTCCTATAATCTGGTCCCAGATAGGTTAAATCACATTTAGAAAATTGTTCTGCTTTTGGTCGTCTTGATTTTAATTTTTAAAAACCTATGAATCTGTTTCCTCCCCCATGACATTCCTCAGAATAGGATGCTTCTGGGTTCCTCTCGACCCTCTGATATTGGAGATTGGCAGGCGAGATGATCTGTAAGACCTCCCTTGGAAGCCACTTTTACTAGAGAGAAAAAAAATTCAGCTGGGCATGGTGGCTCACGCCTGTAATCAATTCTAGCATTTTGGGAGGCTGAGATGGGTGGATCACAACGTCAGGAATTCAAGACCAGCCTGGCCCAGATGGTGAACTCTTGTCTCTATTAAAAATATAAAAATTAGGCCAGGCATGGTGGCTCACACCTGTAATCCCAGCACTTTGGGAGGCCAAGGTGGGCGGATCACGAGGTCGGGAGATCGAGACCGTCCTGGCCAGCATGGTGAAACCCCATCTCTCCTAAAAATACAAAAATTAGTTGGGCGTGGTGGCGTGTGCCTGTAATCCCAGCTACTCGGGAGGCTGAAGGAGAATCACTTGAACCAGGGAGTCGGAGGTTGCGGGGAGCCGAGTGCTCTGTCCACCGGCCTGAAAAAAAGGGGAGACTCTGTCTCAAAAAAAAAAAAAAAAAAAAAAGTGTAAGAGTGTGTGTGTGTGTGTGTGTGTGTGTAAATTAGCTGGGTGTGGTGGTGCGTGCCTGTACTCCCAACTGCTCAAGAGGCTAAGACAGGAGAATCACTGTAACCTGGACGGCAGAGGTTACAGTGAACTGAGATAGCACTGCTGCACTCCAGCCTGGGCAACAGAGTGAGATTCCGTCTCAAAAAAAAAAAAAAAAAGAAAAAAATGCTTACTATGAACTCGATTCATTATAAGTGTTTCCGTTTCAAATAGAATTGCAAGAGGAAAAATCTGACTCATCTAAGGGTTCTGATTGGTTGGGTTTGGTGGCTGCCTGTGTGCCTGTGCAGGGTTCCCTCAGGTTAGGAGCAGCTCACAGGGGTCCTGGTTGGCCCAAGCCATATGCACACCCGCCCCTCTGAAGTAGATGGCCTGTGCGATTCACAGTTGCTTGGAGACCATGATATATATAAATGCTTTGGTTTTGTGGTTTTTCAGATTTTGTGCAAATGTTTGTTTTGAGGGGATTTCAGAAAAACTCAGATCTGAGAAGAACTGTGGAGCCTGAAAAAGTGCCCCAGGTAGGAGGAAAAATAAAGTGGAGAGTTTGGAGAATTGACCTCCTGAAAATAGGCTGCATCCTAAAAAGCAGTCCTTAACCCCAGTGTTCAGACGTGTCTATGCATTTCTTCATTAAAACATGTTGTGTGTATATACGGGTACATGTAATACTTGTTATGTGCATAGAACGTGTAATGATCAAGTGAGGGTGTTTAGAGTATCCATCACCTCGAGTGTTTATCATTTCTGTGTGTTGGCAACGTTTCAAATACTCCAGTTTTTTTGGTAGTATACTTTTTTTTTTCTTATAAAGATGGGTTTCACCATGTTGGTCAGGCTGGTCTTGAACTCCCGACCTCAGGCGATCCGCCCGCCTTGGCCTCCAAAGTGCTTGGATTACAGGCGTGAGCAACCGCGCCTGGCTTGTAATATACATTGGTACCTATGGCCACATTACTCTGCTATGGAACATTAGAACTTCTGTCTAGCTGTGCGTTTGTACCCGTTCACCAACTCTGCTGTCCCCTACTCCATATACCCGTCCCATCTCTGATTCTACACTCTACCTCCATACGATCCACTTTTTTTTTTTTCTCCTGTAGATGGAGTCTTTCTTGTTCTGTCGCCAGGCTGTAGTGCAGTGGTGCCATCCTGGCTCACTGCAACTTCTGTTTTCTGGTTTCAAGCAATTCTTCTTGCCTCAGCCTCCTGAGCAGCTGGGACTGCAGGCATGTGCTATCACTCCTGGCTAAATGTTTTTGTATTTTTAGTAGAGACAGGGTTTCACCGTGTTGGCCAGGATGGTCTCAGTCTCTTGACCTCGTGATCCTCCTGCCTTGGCCTCCCAAAGTCCTGGAATTACAGACGTGAGCCACCGCGCCTGGCCAAGATCCTCTGTTTAACTCCCACATATGAGTGATATAACATGCAATATTTGTCCTCCTGTGCCTGGCTCATTTCACCTAATATAATGGCCTTCAGGTTCCATTCCTTTTGCAGTGAATGACAGAATTTTACTTAAAAAAAATTTGCTGAGGCCGGACTCAGTGGCCCACGCCTGTGATCCCAGCACTTCAGGAGGCCAAGGCGGGTGGATCCCCTGAAATCAGGAGTTCAAGACCAGCCAAACCAACGTGGCGAAACCCCCTCTCTACTAAAAATACAAAAAACATTAGCCAGGTGTGGTGGCGCATGCCTGTAGTGCCAGCTACAGGCAGGGAGGCAGGAGGATCGCTTTAACCTTGGAGGTGGAGGTTGCACTGTGACGAGAACGTATCCCTGCGCTGCAGCCTGGGCAACAGAGTGAGACTCCGTCAAAGCTGAAGAGTATTCCATTGTGTGTATATACCACGCCCAGCTAGTTTTTTATTTTTAGTAGAGACGGGATTTCACCATTTTGGTCAGGATGTTCTGGAACTCCTGACCTTATGATCTGCCCGCCTCAGCCTCCCAGAGTGCTGGGATCACAGGCATGAGCCACTGTAACCAGTGCTTTTTAGTTTAGTATGGTCCCATTTGCCTGTGCCTTTGAGGTCTTAGCCCTAAAATCTTTGTTCAGACCAGTGTCCTGAAGTGTTTCCCCTACGTTTTCTCCTTGTCATTTCATAGTTTTGGGACTTAGATGTAAGTCTTTATCCATTTTGGGTTGTTTGTTGTTTATAGTGAGAGATACGGATTGTTTCGTTCTGCATATAGATAATCAGTTTTCCCAGCACTTTTTGGTTATTTTTTTGGAGACAGAGTCTTGCTCTGCCACCCAGGCTGAAGTGCAGTGTCTCAATCTCGGCTCACTGCAACCTCTACCTTCCAGAACCAAGTGATCCTCCTGCCCTCAGCCTCCCGAGTAGCTGGGACTACAGGCGCCTGCCACCACACCTGGATAATTTTTTTGTAATTTTAGTAGAGATGATGTTTCACCGTATTGGCCATGGTGGTCTCGAACTCCTGAACTCAGGTGATCTGCCTGCCTCGACCCTTCAAAGTGCTGGGATTACAGGCTTGAGCCACTGTGCCCGGCCTCCCGATACCATTTTCCATTTTTTTTGAACAGTCTGTTCCTTCCCTCACGTATCTTTTTGAAATTTTTGTCTAAAATGAGCTGGCTGTGGTTAGGTATGGTGGCTCATGCCTGTAAATCCAGCATTTTGGGAGGCCAAGGTGGATGGATTACCTGAGGTCAGGAGTTTGAGAGCAGCCTGGCCAACATGGCGAAACCCTGTCTGTACTAAAAATATAAAAAATTAGCTGGGTGTAGTGGCACACACCTGTAGTCCCAGCTACTTAGGAGGCTGAGGCAGAAGAATCACTTCAACCCAGGAGGCGGAGGTTGCAGTGAGCCGAGATTGCACCGTTGCATTCCAGCATGGGTGACAGAGCAAGACTCTTAAAAAAAAAATTAAAAAAAACAGTGAGCTGACTATAAAGTTATGGATTTATATCTGGATTCTCTATTCCGTTTTGTTGGTCTCTGTGTTTACATCAACATCGTGCTGTTTTCATTTCTGTAGCCTTGTAGTATGTTTTGACGTCGGGCAGTGTGATGTCTACAGCTTTGTCATTTTCGCTCAGGATTGCTTTGCTTATCTATATTCTTTTTTTGGTTTCATGTGAATTTTAGAATCTTTTTCTCTATTTCTGTGAAGAATATGATTGGTATTTTGATAGAGATTGCATTGAATCTGTAGATTGCTTTGGGTACATCCCAAATTTTCATTCCCTTTTGGATGTTCCTGAGTCAGTGGCTCACATTTTGCCTATACTGCAGTCTGTGGACTTTGAGGAAGCCTGTTTTATTGTTGCCATGAGTTGCTCCCTGCGTAGTAGTATGCTTTAAATCCAGAAGATGTGAAGAAGGGAAATGGGCAGTGTTACCTTCTCACTGTCTCCTCGCTCCAGAAGTGTTGAGGGTGAAAGCCTTTAATTCCACAGCCCAGAATCAAGGCCCTGCTTTCCTGTCTTCACCAAGTACTTCAGCAAAACGGTGTGCCTGCAAAAGTCAGTGTCCTGCCCAGCCCTAGGTTCACAGCCTCAGGCCATGTCCAGAGCAGTCCTGAGTAATTCCAGAAAGTTTGGCCTTTTTTATCTGTCTGGTTCCCTTCAGTATTGGGATAATTTCTAGGTCTAGGAGGAAGTTTTAAAAGTTGACCTCTTTGTTAAGTCAGTTTCTTACTTTACTTTATTTTTATTTTTAATTCTTTTTTTTTAAGACAGAGTTTCACCATGTTGGTCCGGCTGGTCTTGAACTCCCAACCTCAGGTGATCCGCCTGCCTTGGCCTCCAAAGTGCATGGATTACAGGCGTGAGCCACCACGCCTGGTCCCTTACTTTACTTTAGAATAACAAGTGTTAATTCTCTTGTGTGATGCAGGTATGTGAAAATTACAAAGTGATGGTAATTCATACTCTGTTTTGGCAGGTCGCGGTTGATGTACTGCAGAGAATGCTGATTTGTAAGTTAATTGCTCTGTGGCCCAGTTTGTAGATGACTTAGTTTGCTTTTTAACAATTCTGCCAGTTTTCTGTCTTTCCACGTGAAGTATTTCTTCTCTGTATGTTTCGCTGTGTAGAGTCCTGGTACTGGAATGCCTTTGTTTTGGTTGTAATTTGGTATGAATTTACCTTTTACTTCTTATTCTGGCTTCCAATTCCTAGTGGCTTTAGATTTAATTTTCAGAGCTGTGAAGGCATACCACGTTAATCTGTGGTTAAGAGGGGAACGTTTTATTTTCTCTGTGTTTTCATTAACTTTAAAGGCTTACAGATTGCAGTAGCACTGAGGGAGGGCACTGAGGAGTCTTGGACCCTGTGGGGGGTTGGACATGGATCTGTTGTCTGAAGGCACTGGGGACTGTTTGTGGTGGAGCGTCACTGTGCTGATGTCTGTTTTCTGTTCCTGGCTCTGTCATCAGTTGCACTTGACGCTTTAGCTGCTGGAGTACAGGAGGAGTCCTCCACTCACAAGACCTTGAGGGGCTGGTATGTTCCTGAGGGCAGCCTGGCTGAGGGCAGTGGGGAGGTTCCTGCTACGTTAAAAAGCAAGATATCCCACTCTTGAGCACACTTCCTCTGCCAGTTATGATAACGTGTGTGAGGAGGAGGTGGCATTGGGAGAGCCCTGGGGTGCTCTAGTCAGCCTTTTCCCTATGAGGATGAGGTCCGAAGGGGCGCCCCGCTGCAGGAGCCTGTTCTGCCTCTGGAAGTCCTGCACCAATGCTTTGTCCCCACTCAGTGTGCCCCGGTGACCTCCTCCCCTGTCTGGAGTCTCCCCTTGCTCTTCCTTCCCTAGGTGTCATCCAGGCTCTAGAGTTCACCCTGCCCCTCAGGGCCCCCCACATTTCTAGAACACTCTGTAGCCATGCCTCTATGGACTTTTAAACTCTACCTGCCCTCCACGGGCCCTGCTCAGATTCACCAGTAGTCAAAGCTTTGCCCTATTTGCCTTTTCTCTCCATGGCTCTGCAGAGATGCGCAGGTACCCTTACAGGCGGGGAGGTGAAAGCTGAGGAGTGGGGGCTTGGCAGAAAGTGGATGTTAGGGTTTGGTGGAAATGGGGCTCTGGGGTTTGCTTTCCTCAAATGTTGACGGGACCTTGAAGCGAAGTCTTAAGAAACCAGAATTCCCCACCATTCCAGGCCGTGTCAGCCTTTTGATTCTGTGATTGTTTTGCCCATTTCCCATCCCTCACAGTGACTAATTGCTTAATTAAGTAGGTTGGACACTTCGGTACTTTTATTGAAACGGTGAATAAAGCACTGCTTGATATCCTGAATGTTTACGTGTGCATCAGTTAGCTTGGGCTGCTGTAACAAAGCGCCAGATACCGCGTGTGGGTGGCACATGTGTTCTCACAGCTGTGGAGGCTAGAAGTTGGAGGTCAGGGTGCCACCAAGGTTGGGTTCTGGGGAGGACCCTCTTCCTGGCTTTCAGGAGGCCTCCTTTTTCTGTGTCCTTACAAGGTAGCGAGGGGGAGAGCAAGCCCTCTGTCTTAGCAGGGCAGTCATCTCATTACGAGGGCCCCACTTTCAGGACCTCATTGCCTAGGCCTTATCAACACCCCACCTCACATTACTTGACACTGAGAGATGGGGCTTCACCAGAGGAACCTTGTGGGGATACAGTTTAGTCTTGGCTGTAGCAAGTGCATATTTTTATAATCTGGGTGATAAGATTGCTTACACTGGTGGCCTGACAGTCAGGGAACAACCACTGACCTGCTGCTTTTTACATTTTATAAATAGTTGCTATTACTTTATTTATTTTGAGGCAGAGTTTCGCTCTTGTTGTCCAGGCTGGCGTGCGATGGCATGATCGCAGCTCACTGCAGCCTCTGCCTCCCAGGTTCAATCAGTGCTCCTGCTTCACCCTTCCAAGTAGCTGGGATTACAGGCTTGCACCACCACACCTGCTGAAAGCCTGTAATTTTGTATTTTGTATTTTTAGTAGGAATGGGGTTTCACCGTATTGGTCAGGCTGGTCTCAAACTCCTGACCTCAAGTACAGCCACCTTGGCCTCCCAAAGTGCTGGGATTACAGGTGTGAGCCACCGCACCCAGCCTGCCAATACTTTAAAATAGGACATCCTCTAACAGTCTGGGTGGCCAGTTTCCCTTACACACTGAGGGCTGTGGTGTCCCAAAGCCCTGCCCTGTGAGGAAGGACAGCGGGGCTGAAAAGTGCATCTCCGTGATGTCCCCACCCTGTTGTGTGAGTGTCTTGAGTCTGCACATAGCCGATGTCGTCTTGGCAGGTGTGTGACCCTGGGGCAGTTCACTGAACGCGTAGGACCCTTGATTTTCTCACCTGGGTAATCGGGATAAAGTGCCCCTTGCTGGTTGCAGGCTGTAAGCCTCACAAGAGGGACTGGGTTTGGCGTGGTGGTCTGTGTAGAGGTCTACTGGGCTGTGAGACCTCCAGTGCTCTTGACACCTGGCTCCATGACCCCATTCAACCCTAGAACATCCTATTCTCTCCCTCAAATGGCTCAGGAAACCATAGTCCCTTCCATTCCTTCCTCATCCTCATGGATGGTGCTGGCCTCAGTCCCTGTTGTGACTGCAGTGCTTGAGGCCCTGTGTGCTGGGCTCTGCATGTGAGGCTTGGCACGACCCTTTGAAGGAGTTCCATTTTGCAGAGGGTGCTGCTGAGGCCCCGAGGGTGGGCTCTTCACTTGAGGCTTGGCACGAGCCTTTGGGGGAGGGAGTTCCATTTCATAGAGAGTTCCGCTGAGGTCCCCTTGGGTGGGCTCCCGCTGCTCCGCTCCAGGGTGCGGTGCGCGCTACCCTTCCCAACCTGTTTATTTCTCCTGCTTCCTCCGCTGCTCTGCCCTGTGGGTTTTGCCACTGCTTTGTCTCCTTTCTGGTTGAAATGCCACCTCCTTGGATTCAGTTTCAAGTCTGTGGTTATAGTAGCCTGGCCCAGAAAACCCCTTCCTTGCTTAAAGAAGGGATGGGCCTGAGGCACACTTTGTGCCGGGACTCGTGAGTGGTGTGCAGGGCACCCTCCCTTTTCTCAACCCTCTTTCTGCTGCATTGGCAGGTTCGACGTGTTCAGCGGACACACGCTTGGCAGTATAATTTCCACAGATTCTCCGAAGAGGTTTTTCAGTCATACCCTGACTCAGATACTCACTCACAGCCCTGTGCTGAAAGGTAGGCCTAGCCCAGAGGCTGCCCTGTCACTACTCAGTTTCGGGAATGCTGTTTCATTGCTGCCTTGGTAACTCTGATGGGAGATGCCAGGAACTCTGGGACCACTTTTGTGTCTCTGATTTCAACCAGAGCTTGGGTCCTGAGACGCCTGAGGTTGTTACTAAATATCCTTTCACCTGAAAGGAACACATTCTTAAAAGAAAATTCAGAATTGGTCAGGCATGGTGGCTCACATCTGTAATCCCAGCACTTTGGGAGGCCGAGGCGGGTGGATCACAAGGTCAAGAGATCAAGACCATCCTGGCCAATATGGTGAAACCCCGTTTCTACTAAAAATACAAAAAAATTATCTGGGTCTGGTGGCATGCGCCTGTAGTCCCAGCTACTCGGGAGGCTGAGGCTGGAGAATTGTTTGAACCTGGGAGGCAGAGGTTGCAGTGAGCTGAGATTACACTGCTACACTCCTGCTGGTGCGACGAGAGAAACTCCATCTCAAAAAAAAAAAAAAAAAAAAAAAAATTCAGAACTATGAGTGGACAGAAGAATGTCTTTATTTATTTATTTTTTTTTTGAGAGGGAGTCCTACTCTGTTGCCCATGCTGGAGTGCAGTGGTGTGATCTCGGCTCACTGCTACTTCCGCCTCCCAGGTTCAAGTGATGCTCGTGTCTCAGCTTCCTGAGTAGCTGGGAATACAGGAAGACACCACATGCCAGGTTAATTTTTAGTATTTTTAGTAGAGACGGGGTTTCACCTTGTTGGCCAGGCTGGCCTCTAACTCCTGACCTCAGGAACTCCTGATCTGCCTGCCTCGGCCTCCCAAAGTGTTGGGATTACCGGCATGAGCCATCACCCCTGGCCTAAAATAGAAATACCTTTAACGTGAAACATTTCAGTGGTGTTTTTCTAAACAGATTGTTTAAAAATGTAGTTCTTCTCTAAGTGCCACAATTCTGCCTTAAAATGTTATATAAGCATGTTCTCATGCAGGCTTGCCCAGTGTCCCCGGCAGACCTTCCAGGGAGTATGCTGGAGGGTCCACTGCTTCTGCCCTAAGAGGCCAGAGTGTACTCTGCTGCCTCACTCGAGTCTCTAGGGATTTGTGCTTGACATGCTGTGATTGCTGTCTAGTCTTGTAAAATTTGGGCATGCACATTCTCCTACTGGAAGACCTGATGACCCAGCACAACTCACATTATCTTTCTGCTGGCTGCCTTTGCCTTGCTGTGACTGCGTCATGTTCTCAACTAGACTGGGTGGCACATTTGATGGTCCAGGCATCGTCTGCCCACTCAGTGTCCTGTTACCCAACTGTTTCTTACAAATCAGGCCAAGATGAACACTTTGATTGTTGAGCTTTTTCTGTGTCTAGGATATCCCCAGGGTAGGTGCTCAGGCAGGAAACTGGCAGGGGGACAAGGGATGCATGGACAGCTCTGGACAGGCGCTGTGAAGTACTTAGGAGTTTATCGGCGCTTGCATGGAGCTGAGCTTCCTTTGAACAGCTTTCCCACCATGAATCGTTTATTGACAGTTTAAGAGTAGGAAAACTGAAATGTGGTTGATACATTGGCATATATTTATCTTGACTATGAGGAAGCATTACAGTAAGCGGGCCTAAGAAGCCGAGAATTGAAATAGGCAACAAACAGGGAGATGGTGAACTTTAATAATTGGAAAAATACATAGTAAGATCTTTTTTCACACTGAAGCTTTGAATCACAACTTTTTGGCCAACAGCAGTGGCTTACCCTTGTAATCCCAGTACTTTGGGAGGCTGAGGCAGGTGGATCTACAAGGTCAGGAGTTCAAGACCAGCCTGGCCAACACAGTAAAAGCCCGTCTCTATTAAAAAATACAAAAATTAGCCAGGCGCGGTGGCAGACACCAGTAGTCCTCAGCTACTTGGGAGGCTGAGGCAGGAGAATTGCTTGAACCTGGGAGGTGGAAGTTGCAGTGAGCTGGGACCACGCCATTATACTCCCGCCTGGGGACAGAGCAAGACTCTGTCTCAAAAAAAAATACAACAAAGCAGCTGGGTATGATGGCGCAGCCTGTGGTTGCTGCTGCTTTGGAGACTGGGCAGGTGGATTGCTTGAGCCAGGGAGGTTGAGGCTGTGGTGAGCACCGCACTCCAGCGTGGGTGATAGTGAGACCCAAAAACAAAAACCCCACAACGTTTTGATCTCTGACTTGAGGTTTTTGTCTGTTTCTCCCCGTGCAGCATCTGATGCTGTTCAGATGCAGAGAGAGTGGAGCTTTGCGCGGACGCACCCTCTGCTTACCGCGTTGTACCGCAGGGTGAGTAGAGGTGGCGGTACACCTGCTGCTGAGCTCGTGCGTGGGGATTAAGATCTGCTGAGTCTTTGTTGTGCTGCCTGCCATGGACAGCACATGGGGAGGTTCAGGGATGTCTACTGAGATGTGGCTGTCCTCATCTAGGCCACCATTCAGGTCAAGAGACTGAACGTCCTGCCAGAGATAAGGAGAATTCTCTCCAACCAGTGCTGACCACTGTGACGGGAGAGATGCCACAGTGTTGTCACAGCTCCACATGCTGCCTTTCCAGTGGGAAGTGGGAGGGGTTGCGGGTGGCTGTGGGGAGGGAGGTGCGGGGTCATCTGTCCCATGCTGGTTTGCTTTGATGTTGAAGGGAGTGGATGCTTTTATTTCAGCTCTTTGTGATGCTGAGTCCAGAGGAGTTGGTTGGCCATTTGCAAGAAGTTCTGGAAACGCAGGAGGTTAACTGGCAGCGAGTGCTCTCATTTGTGTCTGCACTGGTTGTGTGCTTCCCAGAAGCACAGCAGCTGCTCAAAGGTGAGCTTCTATGACAGCCTGGTGGTGCTGATCAGAGTGTGTGAGGGGGTGTGACTTGAGCACTGCTGTCAGCAGAGTCCCAGCTGACCGTGGGGGAGCCTCTCAGTGAAACCCTTCCCTACCTGCCTGGAACCTGTAATGCCTCCTGTCAGTGGAGCAGTCTTGGTCAGACGCTTCCATGAGCACTGATTGCTGCTCTGAGAGGCCAAGTGTGCACTGCTGGTTCATTCAAGTCTCCAGCGGTTTCTGCTTGACATGCTGTAATCGCCTTCTAGTCTTTTAAAACTTCGCGTTTGGGCGTGCACATTCTCCTATTGGAATGCCTGATCACCCAGCACACTTGAAGTTATCTTTCTGCTGGCTGCCCTTGCCTTGCTGTGATGGTGTCATGTTCTCAACTAGACTGGGTGGCGCGTTTGATGGTCCAGGCATTCGAGAGCTGCCAGCTGGACAACATGGTCACTGCGTTCCTGGTTGTGCGCCAGGCAGCACTGGAGGGCCCCTCTGCATTCCAGTCATACGCAGACTGGTTCAAGGTAAGGGACCTGCCCATCACTGACTAGCTCCTGATCTCCCGGAAGGCTTGGGAATGGGGACCATGCTGTCCCCACCTGACGCTCTGTCATGAGAGTGAACGCCCTTGCTGTGAGCTTTGCCAAGTGGCTTCCGCAGACCTACTGGGTGTGCTGGGGAGCCTGAGTTCTCCCTGTTGGGGCCTTGGTCCCTTCCCCTGGTTTCGTCTCACTTGCTTGATGGAGCCTCCTGCTGTCTTTTATAAGAACATTAGGGAAATCAAGCCTGGACAACATAGTGAGGCCTCGTTGCCCCCAAAAACAACAGCAACAACAACAAACAACAAACTAGGCAGGTGTGGTGGTCCATGCCTGTCGTCCTGGTTACTTGGGAGGCTGAGATTCGAGGACTGCTTGAGCCTGGCAGCTAAAGCCGCAGTGAGCTCTGATCGCACCAGTGTACTCCAGCCTGGGTGACAGGAGACCCACCCCAGAAGGAAAAAAGGAAGCTAGGAAAGGGCGGACACAGAAGTGGCTGCTGCTTTTTGCAGAATATAAAGCATCTCTTATCTCAGTTTTTCTTTTTTTTTTAATTTATTTGAGGCGGAGTCTCATTCTTTCGCTTAGGCTGGAGTGCAGTGGCATGATCTCGGCTCACTGCAGTCTCCATCTCCCGAGTTCAGGCGATTCTCCTGCCTCAGCCTCCTGAGTAGCTGGAATTACAGGCACCCGCCACCACGCCCAGGTAATTTTTGTATTTTTGGTAGAGACAGGGTTTTACCATGTTGGTTGGGCTGGTCTGAAACTCCTGACCTCGTGATCCACCCTCCTCGGCCTCCCAGTGTGCTGGGATTATAGGTGTGAGCCACCACACCTGGCCTAATTTTTGTATTTTCAGTAGAGACGGGATTTCACCATGTTGGCCAGGCTGGTCTTGTACTCCTAACCTCAAGTGATCCGCCTGCCCCAGCCTCCCAAAGTGTTGGGTTTACAGGCGTGAGCCACCACACCTGGCCTTGCGTCTCTAATTTTCATGTAAGTCCTGAAACAAGTACTCTCTTATTCAGAGGTGTCACATATTCTTCCCTTTTCTGTGGAGTACACACAGTGTTCTCTCTGACAGAAGTTTATGCTGCTGTTCCCAAACCTGGGTGGGTGTTAGACTCGCCTGCAGGGGGCCTTTGGAAATGCAGAACAGGGTCCATTTCACACTAGAGTCTGAGCTTTCAAGATCAGCCTGGGCAACACAGTGAGACCCCTGCCTCTACAAAAAATGAAAAATTAGCTGGGTGTGTGGGTAAGCACCTGTAGTCCCATCTGCTTGCACGCTGTGGCAGGAGGATTGCCTGAGCTGAGGAGGTTGAGGCTGCAGTGAGCTGGGATTGCAGTACTACGCTCCAGTCTGGGAGACAGCAGGACTCTGTCTCCAAAAAATAGAAAGTACTGGATTTGTTTGCCATCACCGTTTTGGTGAAGTAGTTTCTTCTTTGTAGGAGTCTCAGCTTCCTGAAATTTTAAAGACCCGAGTGCCTGCTTCTCCCCAGGGCCTTCTGAGGAGGTGAGGCTGCCCAGCAGGCTGAGCCTCTTAGGCTTATATTGGGAGAAGGTGGTGATCCTTGCCGTGTCAACTCACGCTTATTCCTTAAGGTTTCTTTTCATCTGCCCTCAGGCTCTCCCCAGCTCTATGCAGTTGGCCTGCTACTAAGTTGGTCTCTCCTTAGTTTCTACTAAACTAAGGTGAGAGGCATTTGCTCTGTCCTGAGTGAGGTGCTGAGGTATTTATGCCAGAGTCCACACTGGTGCTCTCGGAGCTGTGAGTTCGTCTGTCTCCCAGGGCCTTGGTTCACGGGTCTGCCAGGGTTTACTTTTCCGGCTCCCAAGGTGACCGTCAGTGTGAGTGGAATACTTCTTAAGTGCGGTGTTGACGGTGGTGTTTGCTTTTTCTTTCACCTTTCAAATCACCTTCATCAAAATTTAGTTTTAATGAAATAATAAAATGCACATAATTTAACTGTACCATTAAATGAGGTTTTTTGTTTTTGTGTTTTCAGAGACCCGGTCTTGCTCTGTTGCCTGGGCTGGAGTGCAGTGGCATGATCATAGCTCACTGCAGCCTTGACCTCCTGGGGTCAAGCAGTCCTCCTGTCTCAGCATCCAGAGTAACTGGGACTGTAGGTGTGTGCTACCACACATAGCTAATTAAAAAAAAAATTTTGTGTGAATACAACACCCCACTGTGTTGCCTAGGGTGGTCTCAGACTCCAGGCCTCAAGTGATCCACCTGCCTCAACCCCCAAAACACTGGGATTATAGGTGGGAGCCATCACATCTAGGCAGTTAGATGAGTTTTGATAAATGTGTGTTTGCATATTCAGCATTCAAACATCTGTTCTAATCTTTAATTTTGTGCGTGAATCCCAGCACTGTGGGAGGACAAGGTGGGCACATCACTGGAGTTCAGGAGTTTGAGCCCAGCCTGGGCAACATGGTGAAACCCCGTCTCTACTAAAAAAAAAAAGATTAGCTGGGTGCGGTAGGTGCCTGTAATCCCAGCTACTCGGGAGGCTGAGGCAGGAGAATTGCTTGAACCTGGGAGGCATAGGCTGCAGTCAGCTGAGATTGCACCATTGTGTTCCAACGTGGGTGACAGAGCAAGACACTGTCTCAAAAAAAAAAAAAAAACACTTTTTTTGGTTCTAGGAAGTGTTAATATACATAGACCAAATGATTGCTAATTTGAGCCCTCTGGGGTCATTAATACAGTTTTCAGCACATTACCTTATGTAGTTAAATGTAATTTGTGGGTTTGTTGACCTTTTTTTTTCTTTTTTTTTTAAATTGAGGCTGGGTCTCTGCTCTGTATCCCAGGCTGGGATGTGGTGGTGTCATCACGGCTCACTGCAGTCTCAACCTTCCAGACTCAAATGATCCTTCTACCTCAACTTCCCCAGTAGCCAGGACTGCAGGTGTGTGTCACTACGCCTGGCTAATTATTAAAAACATTTTTTGTAGAGATAGGGTCTCACCATGTTGCCCTGGCTTGTCTTGACCTCCTCGGCTCAAGTGAACTTCCTGCCTCAACCTCCCAAAGTATTAGAATTACTAGAGAGAGCCACTGCACCCAGACGTTGTGTAAATTTTTTTCAAAAATGACAAACAGGGCTGGGCGCGGTGGCTCACGCCTATAATCGCAGCACTTCGGGAGGCAAAGACTGGCAGATCATGAGGTCAAGAGATTGAGACCATCCTGGCCAACATGGTGAAACCCTTTTCAGCCTGTAGTCCTAGCTACTTGGCAGGCTGAGGCAGAAAAATTTCTTGAACCAGGGATGTGGAGGTTGCAGTGAGCCAAGATCACGCCACTGCACTCCAGCCTGGCACCTGAAGTCAGAGCGAGACTCCGTCTCAACAAAAAAAAATAGTAATAACAGTCAGAACTGTCTTTTTTTCCCGGTGACTAACAGTGGCTGCTGTGACCCCAGGTCTGGCTTGTGTCAGCCACTTTACAGAAATGCCTCAGTGGTGGATCAGGACTGTTCCTTGCTGCGGCCAGTGATCACCTAGCTCGCTGTAACTGAACATTGCCGAGAGACAGTAGTCGTTCCGTTGTGGATGGCTGAATAGAGGATAATAAGTCATGGTGTGGCTGGTGGGAGAATTTAAAGTTAAAATTATATGCTGATGTTTTGAGCGAACCCTTGAGTGGTCTCAGGTTGTATTTAAATCCTTTTTTTTTTTTTTTTTTTTTTTTGAGGCAGAGTTTCGCTCTTGTTACCTAGGCTGGAGTGCAGTGGCGCGATCTCAGCTCACCGCAACCTCTGCCTCCTGGGTTCAAGCAATTCTCCTGCCTCAGCCTCCCGACTAGCTGGGACTATAGGCTTGCGCCACCATGCCTAGCTAATTTCTGTATTTTTAGTAGAGATGGGGTTTCACCGTGTTGACCAGGATGGTCTCGATCTCTTGACCTTGTGATCCACCCACCTTGGCCTCCTAAAGTACTGGGATTATAGGTGTGAGCTACCGCGCCTGGCCTTAAATCTTTTTTTTTTTTTTGTGAGACAGAATCGCGCTCTGTAGCCCAGGCTGGAGTGCATTGGCAAAATCTCTGCTCACTGCAACCTCTGTCTCTCAGGTTCAAGTGAGTCTCCTGCCTCAGCCTCCCGAGTAGCTGGGATTACAGGCATGCACCACCACACCCAGCTAATTTTTGTATTTTTAGTAGAGACAGGGTTTCACCATGTTGGTCAGGTTGGTCTCAAACTCCTCGCCTCATCATCTGCCCGCCTCGGCCTCCCAGAGTGCTGGGATTACAGACGCGAGCCACCATGCCCGGTTCTTATTTAAATTTTTAACTGGCGAGTATTGAGTTTTCCTGGTATTTGGAACAGACAGTTCATGTCTCTGAACTCTGTTTTTCCCTGACTCTCTCCCTATCAGAGGCATTTAATGAGCATTATCAGCCTTTTCCCCTTTTTATCTAATGGCTTTTTGGGTTTGTGTATATGGTGATAACATTCAAAAGAATGTACAGATGGTCAGGTGTGGTGGCTCATGCCTGTAATTCTAGCACTTTGGGAGGCTGAGGCGGGAGGATCACCTAGAGGTCAGGAGTTCAAGACCAGCCTGGCCAACATGACAAAACCTCATCTCTACTAAAAGTATAAAAAGTAGCCAGGCTGGACATCGTGGCTCAGGCATGCAATCCCAGCACTTTGGGAGTTCGAGGCAGGTGGATCACCTGAGGTCGGGAGCTCAAGACCAGCCTGGCCAAAATGATGAAACCCTGTCCCCACTAAAAATATGTAATTAGCGAGGCATGGTGGTGCAAACCTGTAATTTCAACTACTTGGGAGGCTGAGGCAAGAGAATCGCTTGAACCTGGGAGGCGGAGGTTACCATTAGCTGAGACCGCGGCCGTGCAGTCCAGCCTGGGTGACGGAGTGAGAGTTTGTCTCAGAAAAAAGAAAAAAAAAATTAGCCGGTTGTGGTGGCATGTCCTTTGTAGTCCCAGCTATTTGGGAAGCTGAAGTGGGAGAATCACTTGAACTCGGGAGGCTGAGGTTGCAGTGAGCTGTCATTGTGCCACTGTACTCCAGCCTGGGCAACAGAGCAAGACTCTCTCAAAAAAAAAAAAAAAAAAAGAAAAAAAAATTAGCTGGGCATGGTGGCAAATCCTTGTAATCACAGCTACTACGGAGACTGAGGCAGAAGAATTGCACCATCCTGGCGGGGCGGATGTTGCATTGAGCTGAGATCGCGCCACTGCGCTCCAGCCTGGGTGACACAGCGAGGCTCCGCCTCAAAAAAAGAAGAAGAATGTACACAAGGTTGTACACTTTGAGAAAGACCGTAGTAAGCCCTCAGTTCATGTTGCAGCTCAGGCTTCTTGATGAATAGTAACCCACTGAGGCTTCACTGCGATATCCTGTGTGCTCACACATGGCCAGTGTGATAGAAGCTCGTGTGTTTGTGCAGGTAAGTCGTTCCGTTCTCATGTGTGTACACATTTTCTCTGCAGGTTCACTTGGGATGCGTTCAGGGCGATGCCCATTATAAAACCTCCTTCCTTTCCTGACTCACTGCAGCCTTTGCCCCCGGGACCTTGCGGCTGCCCCCGTGGTTCCCGGAAGGGTTTGCTCTTGCTCCACGCTTGCTCTGCCCTAGGGTCTTGCAGTTTCGTTGTCTGGGGTGGCCCTCCTTGGCCTCCATTCTTCAGCCGCCTCTTTCGCGGTGATCTGTCCGCTGATGGATGAGGTTAGAAGTTAAGTGTGTTCAGAAGTGGCTTCATCCAACAAAATCAGTTTGTTTGCTGTGCACAAACACTTGTTAGGGCATTTAACAGATTGTACCCCTACGGGTCCCCAAAAGATACCATAGTTAGTGTTTACTGTAGCTAATTATTAACTTTTTTATTTGAATAACTTTTAGACCGTCCCTTCAATGAAATCATAGCCATGACATCTGTAAATGTGTGAACCAAAATGACTTGTGGTTGTTTCACTTTCTTCCTTTTGTGTTTAGGAGGCCGACTAGAGCAGCAGCCAGACACTGCCTGGCTGTCCTGGGTTTCACGCTCTTCTCTCCACACAGGCCTCCTTTGGGAGTGCACGAGGCTACCATGGCTGCAGCAAGAAGGCACTGGTTTTCCTCTTCAAGTTCTTGTCAGACCTTGTGCCTTTTGAGTCCCCTCGGTACCTGCAGGTGAGAAGCTGCCTGCGACATCCGTGATTTCTGGTACTTCTGCTCACCTGCTCAGTCTGAGGACTGCCTTGGCCTCCCCAAGAGCCTTCCGCCGATCTGCTCTGAGCCTCTCAGCCAGGCCCCTCTCCTTCCCCAAGCAGTTTATGGTGAGACAACATGGACGTTGCAGCTGGCAAGTCCTCAGAAACCCTTGGCTCTTCGGGGCCACGGAGATGGGTAAATACATCATGTCACTGTGCAGTCCACCTTCAAACAGTGAGCAGGTCTAAGTGGTGACATGGAAGGACATTCTCTGCTGCACTCCGTTGTGCAGGAAGAGTAAGTTTACTGCATTGTATGAGGATCTCATTTGTGCTTTTCTTTTTTTTTTTTTAACCTACACCGTGGAGCCGTGCTCACAGAGGTGTGTGGGCAGCCTGTGAGTGAGGGTGTGGGGGCTGTTGCCATCCTTTTGAATACCTGGATTTTAGGGTGTGCTTCTTTCTTATACAGGGCCATCAGCCCATTTATTTGCATTTGTTTGGTTATCTTTTGTTTTTTTGAGTCGGAGTCTTGCTCCGTTGCCCAGGCTGGAGTGCAGTGGTGGGATCTTGGCTCATTGCAACCTTTGCCTCCTGGGTTCAAGCAATTCTCCTGCCTTGGCCTCCCGAGTACCTGGTATTATAGGTGCCCGCCACCATGCCCAGCTATTTTTTGTATTTTTAGTAGAGAAGGGGTTTTACCATATTGGCCGGACTGGTCTCAAACTCCTGACCTTGTGATCTGCCCGCCTTGGCCTCCCATAGTGCTGGGATTACAGGCATGAGCCACCACGCCTGGCTTTTTTTTTTTTTTTTTTTTAAGTAATTTCATGGCTTTTTTTTTTTTTTTTAAAGACACTCTCACTCTGTCACCCGCCTGGAGTATAGTGGTGTGATCATAGCTCACTGTAGCCTAGAGCTTCCAGGCTCAAGCAATGCTCCCACCTCAGCCTCCTGAGTAGTTGAGACTATAGGCAGACTCCAGCATATCTGGGTAATTTTTAAAAAAAAATTGTTATTATAGATGGGGTCTTGCTATGTTGCCCAGGCTGGTCTTGAACCGAGCTCAAGTGATTCTTCTGCCTTGACCTCCCAGCATGCTGGGATTACAGGCATGAGCCACTGTGCCCAGCCTGACCCTGTTTTTTTTTGAGATGGAATCTTCCTATATCACCTAGCTGGAGTGCAGTGGTGTCATCTTTGCTCACTGCAACCTCTGCCGCCTGTATTCAAGTGATTCACGTGCCTCAGCCACCTTGAGTAGCTGGGACTACAGGCACAGGCCACCATGCCTGGCTGATTATTTGTATTTTAGTAGAGACAGGGTTTCACCATGTTGTCCAGGTTGGTGTTGAACTCTTGACCTCGTAATCCGCCTGCCTTGGTCTCCCAGAGTGCTGAGATTACAGGCGTGAACCATGAGCCTTGCTGTCTTTTATTAAGGAAATTGCAGTATCCCCACTGTCACCTTTCATGTTCTTGGCGGCACCCAGTTATCCAGGAAGAGCAAGTTATACTGCATTGTATTAGGATCTCATTTGTGTTTTTTTTCCCTTTGCACTCTTGGCTCACTGCAACCTCCACTTCCTGGGTTCAAGCGATTCTTCCGCCTCAGCCTCCCGAGTAGCTGGGACTATAGGCGTGTGCATGACCTGCTAAATTTTTTTGTATTTTTAGTAGAGATGGGGTTTCACAGTGTTGGCCAGGATGGTCTCGATCTCTTGGCCTTGTGATCCACCCGGCTCGGCCTCCCAATGTGCTTTTTTTTTTTTTTTTTTTCTATCTACACCCTGGAGCGGTGGTCCTCACAGGTGTGTGGGAAGCCAGAGGTGTGGAGCTGCTGGTGGGCTGGCTGGCCCGGCTGGCCCCTGCCTGCTGCTTCTGGGAATGCACATCCCTGGCTCCCCCAGTGAGCCACATAGGACCAATTACCTGAGAATTCCTTCATTTTTCACCTGGGAAAGCAGACTTCTGTTGTGTTTTAGTTTTACTAATGGTTTGCTTTGCATACTCATAAATACCCGTAGAGGGCTGTGTTTCTCCACTCAGCAGCACTATGGATGGTCGAACTGAGCTGTGGCCTCCCTGGAGTCCCAGACAGTTCGCTGACTAATGTTGCTGCACTCTGTTGTCTGTCCTCAGGTGCACATTCTCCACCCACCCCTGGTTCCCAGCAGGTACCGCTCCCTCCTCACAGACTACATCTCATTGGCCAAGACGCGGCTGGCTGACCTCAAGGCAAGCTGCCCCTCCGTGCCCACTCCTCACACCCGTCCAGCAGAAACAACTTTGTTTTCATATTCGCATTTTGTCTCTCCTCTGAAGGTGTCTATAGAAAACATGGGACTCTACGAGGATTTGTCATCAGCTGGGGACATTACTGAGGTAATGTTGCTTGAGCCCTGCAGGGTCTCAGCCAGTCACGCCCACCTCGCAGAGGTCCAGTTTCCTTTGTCTCTCGAGCCTTTCAGCCTTCCCAGTCTCTCGTCTGGTCTTGGTTTGGGCGCAGCTAGGGGCAAGGCTCTGAAGGCCTCTGTTTTGCCTGTCCCACCATGTGTGTGTTCCCAGCATTAGCATGAGGGGATTTTCTCTGTGTGGGAAAGAAGTGCTTCATGGTGCAGTAAATGTGTCCCTTTAGGAGATCTTGGTTCATATGGGGTTGAATGGAGAGGTGGTCAGTCATGTTTTTCTTTGAATTAAAGAAAAGTGTTAACTATTTTTTTTTCAACTCTAAGTAAAATACACATTGTTTTTTTTTTGAGATGGAGTCCAGCTCTGTCACCAGGCTGCAGTGCAGTGGCACGGTCTCGGCTCACTGCAGCCTTCACCTCCTGGGTTCAAGTGACTCTTCTGCCTCAGCACCCTGGGTACCTGGGACTAGAGGTGTGTGCCACCACGCCCAGCTCATTTTTCTATTTTTAGTAAAGACGGCATTTCACTGTGTTGGCCAGGATGGTCTTGATCTCTTGGCCTTGTGATCCGTCCGCCTCTGCCTTCCAAAGTGCTGGGATTACAGGCGTGAGTCAACATGCCCGGCCCAAGTGTTAACTGTTTTTGTGGAAGCCAAATGTCAGATGGTGTGTAATGTATGTCACTCATAAAAACATTCTTTTTATTTATTTATTTATTTTGTGTGTGTGTGTGTGTGTGTGTGTTTTATAAAAACATTCTTTACTGCTTGAGACCTTTTTATTTTAAATTTACAAGTTATTGACGAACACTTATAGGTGACATTAAAGCGTTTGGTGAAAATATTTAATGCAACTTTCCATTTATGATTCGTTACTATTTATAAGGTACTATATTTTTTTGAGGTGGGATTTTGTTCTGTTGCCCAGGTTGAAGCAGTGGTGTGATGGTAGCTCAGTGCAGCCTCAACCGTGTGTGTTCAAGCGATCCTTCCACCTTGACCTCCTGAGTAGCTGGGGCTACAGGCGTGCGCCACCACGCCTGGCTGGTTTTTAAAATTTTTTGTAGAGATAGGGTCTCTCTGTGTTGTGCAGGCTTGTCCTGAACTCTTGCACTCAAGTGATCCTTCTGCTTTGGCCTCCCAAAGTGCTGGGTTACAGATGTGAGCTGCCATGCCTGACCTCATAATTTTTGTTTTGACACGGAGACTTGCTCTGTTGCCACGAGAGTAGAGTGACACGATCATGACCACTGCAGCCTTAAATTCCTGGGCGCAGGCAGTCCTCCCACCTCCGTGTCCTCAGTAGCTGGGACCACTGGCTCATGCCTGTACCCTGGCTGATTGTATTTTTTGTAGAGTTGGGATTTCGTCATGTTGCCCAGGCTGGTCTTGAACTCTTTGGGCTCAAGGAATTCCCCCTCCTTAGCCTCTCAAAGTACCGGATGTATATGGACATGAGCCACGGCACCAAGCCCTCGTAATTGTTTTTAATCTCAAAAATTAAATCTCGACTCCTTCCGACCTGGAAATGTTTACTTTCAACTCTTCACTCTCTTAAAGGCAACAGAGAGGCTGCTGGCCGGCAGAGGAGGGAGCAGCTCTTGGTGGAGCTCAGCTGCCATGAGGGCCTCAGGGCCCCGGGTCTGAGCTTGTGGGTGTAGGAACAGCAACACTGTCCCTTCCCGTGTTTTGGGAGGGCTCCAGTGCCCCTGCTGTGCGCACTCATATGGGCCTTTAATTTGTGCAGAGCCTTTGCCCAGTGAAGCGCAGGTTGAGTCTGGCCTTCACTACTCGCTTTCTTTTAAGTTCTCTGTTCTTTTTTTCTTCCTCCCTGTACTGGAACCAGCCCCACAGCCAGGCTCTTCAGGATGTTGAAAAGGCCATCATGGTATTTGAGCATACAGGGAAAATCCCAGTCACCGTCATGGAGGCCAGGTAGGCTGGGCTGTCCAAAGGGCAGGGGCAGCTGCAGTGAGTGCAGAGTCCACTCTGATGCCTGTCAGTGTCTTGGGGCTTTTAGTGTGTCCCAGGTCTGCTCAGAACCACATGGGGAAGGTTGGCCACTGTCTATTCATGGAGAGACAGCAGTCAGGGCTGTAAATTCACATCGAGGATCCTGCAGTTGGGGGATATGGGGTGAGGTCAAGCTATGCATTTGCTGACGTTACAGACGTTAGCCACTGCGCCCAGCTAGTTACAGTTTTTTAAAAAAAATTTGATTCTGAATATCACTGCTAGCATGATTTCTGTGTAAAAGCATGTGATGCCCGTCCCACGCTGTAACAGCCAGTAGGAAGTGCTGACTGGGGAGCCCGCAGTGGGAGGGAAGACGATGGGGCACCGTGATGTTTTTTATCAATGCTTTCTTCGTGACCAGTACGGCATCAGCAACAAAGAGCTGAATAGTACAGCTGTATTGAATCTGGTGTAATCCCAGAACATCTTGAATTCTGGTGGTTACCTGTGTGGACAAGCTTCCAGGGTTTTCAAATTAGCTTCAAGCAAAATGCCCCAAAGGACCTTACATGGGTCTTATAGCCTCAGATTGATCCAGGCTGCACGGCCAAGCCCAGTGAGCAGGCAGAATGTGGTCCTGATTGCCACGGACTCCAGGCTGGGCTGGCACAGCCTGCCCTATACGTGCCTTGTGCTGGAACTGTGCACGAGAAGACTTCATGACAGCAGCACATTGTGGCTTTGGAATAAGCCCCTGCATTCCACTCTGAAACACCAGTCACTGTTTGGGAATTGCCTTTTCGCTGCACTCACCTACCCACTGTCTGCTTCTCTGTTGCAGCATATTCAGGAGGCCTTACTACATGTCCCACTTCCTCCCTGCGCTGCTCACACCTCGAGTGGTCAGTATGCATCTCCATGAGAACCAGTTGTGTCAAAAGCAAGGACTTTCCTTGTCAGCATCTCACAGGACTCTTGTCTTCCCACAGCTTCCAAAAGTCCCTGACTCCCGTGTGGCTTTTATAGAGTCTCTGAAGAGGTATGCAGGAACATCTACAGGGGGACTACTGTGCTTTTCAGGTTTTTGTGTGTGTGTCAGTGCGAAGAATTGTGGCTCTTCTGTAGAGAAATTTGTGTGATCACTAATGTGTTTTATTTATTTTTTTGATAGAGTCTTGCTCTGTTGCCAGGCTGGAGTGCGGTGGTGTAATCTCAGCTCACTGCAGTCTTCGCCTCCCAGGTTCTAGCAATTCTCCTGCCTCAGCTTCCGAAGTAGCTGGGACTACAGGCGTCTGCCAACACGCCTGGCTAATTATTTGTAGTAGAGACGAGATTTCACCATGTTGGCCAGAATGGTCTCGATCTCTTGACCTCATGATCCACCCACCTCGGCATCCCAAAATGCTAGGATTACAGGCGTGAGCTACTGCACCTGGCCCATGTGTTTTATTTATAAAATATTGACTCCAAAATTAGTTGGTTACAATTTTTTTTTCAGATGAGTCTTGCTCTGTCACCCAGGCTGGAGTGCAGTGGCGTGATCTCGGCCCGGCACAGTCTTTACCTCTTAGGTTCAAGCGGTTCTCCTGCCTCACTCTCCTGAGTAGCTGGGATTACAAGTGTGCATCACCACTTTTTAATTTTTTTTTTTTTTTTTTTTGTTTAGTAGAGATGGGTTTCCCCATATTGGCCAGGTTGGTTGTCGAACTTCTGGCCTTAAATGATCTGCCCGCCTCGGCCTCCCAAAGTTCTGGGATTACAGACGTTAGCCACTGCGCCCAGTTGGTTACAGTTTTTAAAAGAAAGTTTGATTCTGAATATCACTACTAGCATCATCATCTTTTTTTTTTTTTTTTTTTTTTTGAGATGGGCTCTGGCCTCGTCACCCAAGCCTGGAGTGCAGTGGTGTGATTTCAGCTCACTGCAGCCTCCACCTCCTGAGCTCAAGTTATCCTTCCATCTCAGCTTCCTGATTAGCTACGACTACAGGGGTGTGCACTAAGCCTGGCTAATTGTGGTATTTCTTTTTGCAGAGATGGGGTTTCACCGTATCCGGGGTGGTTGCAAACTCCTGAGCTTAAGCGATCTGCCCACCCCAGCCTCACAAAGTGCTGAAATTACAGGCATGAGCCACTGCACGTGGCCACCACTAGCCTCTTTTTTTTTTGGATGGAATCTCGCTCTGTCACCTTGGCTGGAGTGCAGTGGTACACCTTTGGCTTACTGCAACTTCTGCCTCCCAGGTTCAGGTGATTCTCCTGGCTCAGCTTCCTGAGTAGCTGTGATTACAGGCACGTGCCACCACGCCTGGCCAATTTTTCTGTTTTTAGTAAACATGGGGTTTCACCATGTTTGCCAGGCTGGTTTTGAACTCCTGAACTTGTGATGTGCCCACCTCTTCCTCCCAAAGTGCTGGGATTACAGGTCTGAGCCACCGCGTGTGGCCACATCATTCTTGAATGAAAGAAAATGTTTGGGGCTGGGCATGTGGCTCATGCCTGTAATCCCAGCTTTGGGAGGCCGAGGCAGGTGGATCATGAGGTCAAGAGATCGAGACCATCCTGGTCAACATGGTTAAACCCTGTCTCTACTAAAAATACAAAAAGCTAGCTGGTCATGGTGGTGCATGCCTGTAATCCCAGCTACTCAGGAGGCTGAGGCAGGAGAATTGCCTGAACCCAGGAGGCGGAGGTTGCAGTGAGCTATCGTGCCATTGCACTCCAGCCTGGGTAACAAGAGCGAAACTCCGTGTCAAAAAAAAAAAAGAAAATGTTTGAGTACGTAATGATTGTACAAATAAGGTAACTGAAGGAACATCAAACAGAGCCCTGGGAAGGCCTCATACTGCAAAACCTTAGGGTAGACCTGACCTGATCTGGGAGGTCTTGTTAGAATAATAAGGTATTCCTGGCTCGCTTACATTGCAGGCTTCTCGTAAGAAAGTTGGTTCGTATCACAAACGTCACCTTTGGAAGAAATAGGAAAGTATAAGTCCTATATTTCAGTAAAATTTATACAGTTCTGGGATCTATCAGAAGATAAGAAGGACAAAGAATTTAGAAAGTAAAAATCATTTTTTAAATCTTAATAAGTTTATTCTCTGGGATTCTTTTTGATTTTTTTTTTTTTTTTTTTTTTTCTCCATGAGGCACTTTATTTGTAAATATATGTATTACATCCCTGGAAAAAGAATCCCAGGATTTTCCGTCTTGTGTGTTTTCGTCTTGCTTCTTCACGGTCCATGATGCCAGCTGAGGTTGTCAATACAATGAAACCAAACTGGCGGGACGGAAGCAGATTATTCTGCCGTTTTTCTAGATCTTTGAGTTGCACATCAAATCTGGGGCTGATCACACCACACTTGTTTAGCCTGCCTGTGAGGTTCACAACAATTTTCCCAGCTCTGTGATCATCAGTGATTTCAAATTCGCCAATGTAACCGTGCTGCATCATCACAGTGAGAAACCGGACGATGACTTTGGAGCACAGCCTAATAAGCACCTGGCGTTTGCCTCTGTTTTCGGCATTGTAGATGCTCTTGAGAGCATCAGCCAGGACGTTCATGCGCACCGTTGTGGTGGCGCGGAAAGATGGCGGAAAGAGAGGGATTTTGTTTTTCAAGTCTCTCACCGTCACCAGGCTGGAGTGCGGTGGCTCAATCTTGGCTCGTTGCAGCCTCCACCTCCTGTGCGCAAGCAATTCTGCCTCATCCTGCCGAGTAGCTGAGACTATAGGTGTGCGCCACCATGCCCAGCTGTATTTCGTATTTTTAGTAGAGATGGGGTTTCATCGTGTTGGTCAGGCTGGTCTTGGTCTCTTTTTTTTTTTTTTTTTTTGAGACGGAGTTTCGCTCTTGTTACCCAGGCTGGAGTGCAATGGCGCGATCTCGGCGCACCGCAGCCTCCGCCTCCTGGGTTCAGGCAATTCTCCTGCCTCAGCCTCCTGAGTAGCTGGGATTACAGGCACGCACCACCATGCCCAGCTAATTTTTTGTATTTTTAGTAGAGCCAGAGTTTCACCATGTTGACCAAGATGGTCTCGATCTCTTGACCTTGTGATCCACCTGCCTCGGCCTCCCAAAGTGCTGGGATTACAGGCGTGAGCCACCGCGCCCGGCGGTCTTGGTCTCTTAACCTCGTGATCTGCCCACCTTGGCCTTCCAAAGTGCTGGCATTACAGGCGACAGCCACTGCGCCCAGTCATTGTTTTTTTTTTTTTTTTTTTTTTTGAGATAGAATTTTGCTCTCTGTTGCCCAGGTTGGAGTGCAATGGCATCATCTCAGCTCACTGCAACCTCCGGCTCCCTGGTTCAAGTGATTCTCCTGTCTCAGCCTCCCCAATAGCTGGGATTAACAGGTGCCCGCCACCATGCCCGGCTACTTTTTGTATTTTTAGTAGAAACAGGATTTCACCATGTTGGCGAGGCTGGTCTCAAACTCCTGACTTCAGGTGATCTCCCTGCCTCAGCCTCCCAAAGTGGTGTGATTACAGCTATGAGCCACCATGCCTTTCCCCTTTTGTTTAAGACCGGGTCTTACTGTGTCACCCAGGCTGGAATGTGGTGGTGTAGCCATGGCTCACTACAGCCTTGACCTCCTGGGCTTAAATAATCCTTCCACCTCAGCCTCCCAAGTAGCTTGGTCGAGAGGCATGCTCCACCACACCTGGCCAATGTATATATATTTTTTTGAAACAAGAGTCTCACCCCGTCGCCCAGGCTGTAATACAATGGCTTGATCTGGGCTCACTGCAACTTCCAGGTTCAAACGATTCTCCTGTCTCACCCCCCTGAGTAGCTGGGGCTACAGACATGCACCACCAGGCCCAGCTAATTTTTGTATTTTTAGTAGAGACTTGGTTTCTCCATGTTGGTAAGGCTGGTCTCCAACGCCTGACCTCAGGTGATGTGCCCACCTCAGCCACCCAAAGTTCTGAAATTACAAGTATGAGCCGCTGCGCCTGGCCCAATTTTGCATATTTTTAATGACATGAACTAAGCACTTTTCTTAGTATTATTCATTAAAATTAACAAAGATTCATTTTTTGAATTTAGAAATTACCAAAAATTGAGAGAAATAGAAATAATTGATAATTTCACTGCCCATTGATAATTCTGGTAATGTTTTGTGGTCTAGCTTTTTATATGTTAATGTGTGATCAATAAGCCATATTTTGAAACAGTAAGTGCTATTTAAATTCATATATATATATATATATATATATATATATATATATGTAGTTTTGAGACAGACTCTTGCTCTGTCACCTAGGCTGGGGTGCAGTGGCTCAATCTCCACCTCCTGGGTTCAAGTGATTCTCCTGCTTCAGCCTCCTGAGTAGCTGGGATTACAGGCACCCACCACCATGCCCGGCTAATTTTTGTATTTTTAGTAAGAGACAGGATTTGCCATATTGACCAGTCTGATCTCGAACTCCTGAACTCAGGTCATCCACCTGCCTCGGCCTCCCCAAGTGCTGGGATTACAGGCGTGAGCCACCGTGCCCTGCCTAAATCCATATATATTTTTATATCTTTTTTTCCTAAAAACAGGCTCATAATGTGCACAGTATTTAGTATGTTTCTATTTTATAATAGATTTGGGGATTGCAATCTTGAATTAAGTCAAGTCATAGCTGACTTGCGTTTATTGTTTTCCTGTGATCCAGAGCAGATAAAATCCCCCCGTCTCTGTATTCCACATACTGCCAGGCCTGCACCACTGCTGAAGCGAAGCCGGAAGGTAAGTTCCTGGGCCGCTTGTCCACGCTGGGACTTGTGCTTTTCCATTTCCCTGACCTTGAGCATCTGTTGCTCAGTACCATCCCAGTGAGCTTGGGGGTGGCTGTGCCAGCTGGGGCCAGAGCTGTGGGTACAGGGTCCGCCCCCCATGTTGACACCCAGGGCCATCCATGGCACAGGCTCTTACTTGGGGGCCTTGAAGAATCACCTAACATAGCACCTTCTGGGGAAAAAAACAAAACAAGACAAGATTGACGAACCAGAGACTAAGTCATCACCTATCCATGGTCCTGTGCCCAGCCTCCTCAGCCCCTGGGCTTCCTTGGCTGGGCTTCTGGTCTTTTCTGCAATGATTGAGTGGTGTTGATGGTGCACACAGAATCACTTTGTTTCTTAAACTTGTTTATAAGTGTAATTTTTGATGTGGTGGCATCTAGCATCAAGGAGAACACCTCATTTACCTTCGCAGAGACTTCGCAGTGCCTCCATCTGGCGTGCATAGAGCAGCATAGAAATGCACAGTTCTGTATTTGACTGTGTGAAGTTTCTGGTTTTGTAATGAAAAGTTCTGTGAGTGTCTGCCCATCTGGTCTGATGGTGAAAATTCCCTCCTCCTTGCAGATGCATCCCTGGGAGTAAGGGCGGACCCCAGCTGTGCCGAGGAGCCCCTGGGACAGCTCACGGCTGCCCTGGAAGAGCTGAGAGCATCCATGACAAACCCTAGCCAGCATGACGGTGAGGACGGACGGACGGGGTGCTCACGTGCCCCCTGTGTGTAGCCTGTGGTTGGAGCTCGGTGCCCGGTCCATTTTCCCTTTAGTGATGTCAGGCTAGTGTGTCTTCCTAGTGGTCCAGCATTTGGTGGTGAAGCTTGACCATGGGCTGGAGGGTGTGGATCCTTTTTTAAGACAAGGTGAAGGCTGGTTATAATCAAGCTGTCACAGACCTTTGGCAGAAGATGAGTATTCTGCTCGATGCATTTAGATAGGACAGATAATGGGGAAGAATAAAACATAGGAAGTGACTAGGATGTGCATATGCCTTCTCATCCTGACTGTTGGAGTAGATATTACATGAGACACCTGGGGTCTCTGCCTTGTAATCCGGCTTCCACATGACAGTTTTTTGCAAAACCCAGAGTATGAAATGTTCATCTGTGGACTGAGGACATGGAGTTTCCATGCACTTAGTAAAACACGGAGTACAAAGTGTTCATCTGTGGACTGAGAACATGCAGAGTTTTAGACCACTTACGTGTCGCACGCCAGTCCACAGTGGAAAATGCCAAGTTCTAGGACTTTCACAGTTTTTCGATGTCACACACACAATCTAAAATAAGGAAGCCATATTTTTAATTGAGTAACGTGAATAGATTTTTATTTATTATGAGTTGATTTCATTTGAACTAAGGGAGGCTCATAGAGCCGTGCGTGTGCGCGCGTGCACGCCTGTCACGGATTCTCTTGTCGCCCAGGCTGGAGTGCAGTGGTGTGATCTCAGCTCACTGCAACCTCCACCTCCTGGGTTCTAGCAGTTGGCCTGCCTCAGCCTCCCGAGTAGCTGGGATTACAGGTGTCAGCCACCACGCCCAGCTAATTTTTGTTTATTTTTTAGTAGAGATGGGGTTTCACCATGTTGGCCAGGCTCCCAGCTAGTCTCGAACTCTTGGCCTCAGGTGATCCACCAGTCTCAGCCCCCAAAGTGTGCTGGGATTATAGGGTTGAGCCACCATGCACAGCCTAGATGGAGGCAATATTAACAAAACTTTTAGTGCTGGCTGGGGCTGCAGTGCCTCGACATGGTCTTTACTCAGGCCAAGGAGACACGTTTCTGAGGGCAGCCTTTCATTGAGGTGCTTGTGCAGAATGTGGTGTGTGGGGGACATTGAGGAAATGTTTCAGTGCTTAAGAAAGAGGTCGATAAATGTCAGGTGAGTTCTGTTTCTAACAGCAACAAAATGGTTTTCATGTTTAAATGATGCAGTTGGGCTGCCTATGGCTCGTTACCGTGGGCAAACATGGAACCTCTGGCATGTGCTTAGGCAGGTATGGTATGCGGAGGGCTGACATGGGATTTCAGATGGGGAGCATAAAATGTGGAGGTTTGTGTTGGTGAATGAAGAATATGTCCAACTCTCAGCTGATCAGAAAAAGGTAGTGGATGGCGTCTGGCCCCATCTTCCATAACACATGCTGTGTCACAAGGCTGCAAGCCCCCTGCAGTGCGAGCAGACGCTAGCATTCAGCACCTGGCTGGGGGATGTGTACAGCCAGCAGGGTCCGTGGAATTGCACTTGACAGGAGGCGGAACTCTAGGCCACAGCTGTGTGTCTTCTTTCAGGGTTCCCTTCTTTCCTAACTGGTTTCTCCGTTTGCAGTTATCTCCGCACAGGTGGCAGTGATTTCTGAAAGACTGAGGGCTGCCCTGGGCCACACTGATGATGATGACAGCGTTGAGTTAGCAAAGATTCAACTCAGCATCGACACACCGAGACTGGAGCCACGGGAACACATGGTGGGTTTGGGGCTCAGAACAAGGCAGGAGGTCTTCATTTTCCTTTAGTCAGAGGCACTAGACGTGTGGAGCGTCCTCTCACTTTCTGTTTGACTTGCTCAGTAAGCTGTACAAGTGATGTCAGATGCTCCAGGGCTGGAAGCAGCCTGTCGGGGTCCGCCGTCCTAGCCTGTTTGTGTATGAAGAGCTCCTTTGCCATTTTATTTATTCATTTTGGAGACAGGGTCTTGCTTTGGTGCTCAAGCTGGAGCACAGTGGTACAGTCACGGCTCACCGCAGCCTCAACCTCCTGGGCTTAAATGATCCTTCTGCCTGAAGCCTCCTGAGTAGCTGGGACTACAGGCATGTGCCACCGCACCCGGCTAATTTTTGTATTTTCTGTAGAGATGGGGTTTCTCTGTGGTGTTTTGACTGGTCTAGAGCTCCTGAACTCAAATGATCTGCCTGCCTCGCAGATGTTGGGATTACAGGCGTGAGTCACCGTGCCTGGCCCCTTCTTTTTTCTTCTTTGAGACTGAGTGTTTCTCTGTTACCTGCAGGGTTTAGTGGGTGTTCTTTTGTATGTGGAGACAACAGATCGCAGGAAAGAAAGGACACAAGGACACAGAGTTAAAAGAAGAATTCACCTGGGCCTGGGGGACCACTACTACCGAGTGGCTCGCATTGTTTACAAGGCAGGGGGGCAGGGTCAGGAGAGTGCCTCATCTGACATGATTAGTAGGGGTCAAGCAGATCACATTCTTACAATACCGGGGACCATGTGGGTACAGCACAGGGGGCCCCTCCCTCTCAGGTAGCCACTGCAAGGAGGGGAGGCACATACATCAGTATCTTTCTGTGCACTTATCAGAGACATCAAAGGCTTTTAGGATTCCTCTGTTCTAAGAATTTACAAGGGAGCATCGGGTGGGAAAGTACAGCATGAAAGTGGACAAGGATGGTGACCATCAGAGCACGGCTCCACGGAGAGGTGTTTAAGCCCCGGATGTCTGCGGCCGGCTGGCTAGTGTCAGACCTTCCTCGAGAGCTGGATGGAGCTGAGTGTTCTCTGAACTCCCCAGTGAAAGGGAAACTCCCCCTCATGGCCTGCTAAGCGACGGGCGCTTCCCCAGGCGCTGGCGTTACTGCAAGGCCTGCCTGCTAAGTAACGGGCGCCTTCCCAGGCACTAGTGCTACTACAAGGCATTTACTCTTGCCTCCAAATCACTTCTCATAATGTCCCTTCAGTTCCGTATTATATTTCATGTGATTATTTCTATACTACAAGGCTAAAAGTGTTCCTACCCTGTAATACTAACGCAAAGGTTCGTAGTAGCAATAACGTAATTAGATTGAGCATATAATTATGTGAGTACATCTAAGTCTAATTGGTATCGTTGCTATCACTAAGCAGTCAGTAAATACATTCAGTATCATTGTTGTACTTAAGTAATCAGATATTTATTATGCTGGGACAGATTCTGCCTTCAGTCTCTTGCCATGACACCTGGGCAGCCTTCTTCCCACAGTTGCCTAGGCTGGAATGCAGTGGCCTGATCTCGGTTCGCTGTAGCCTCCACCTCCTGGGCTCAAGCAATTCTCGTTCCTCAGCCTCCTGGGTAGCTGGGATTACAGGCGTGTGCCACTACGCTTGGCTACCGTTTGCATTTTTAGTAGAGACAGGGTTTCACCATGTTGACCAGGCCCATCTTGATGGCCTCTTTAGAATATGCAACAGAGACTTGTTAGTGGCCCCAGAACCTGAAATATTTTTCTGGCCTTTGACACACAAGGTTTGCCAGTCTTGCTCACTGCTATAGAATTTTGCGATTGGCAGTTACGTGAGGGCACTTGGACTTTTACTTTCCAGGATTGGGGAATGGAGGCCTTTGGTGCCAGTTTGCATTGTAATGTGCTTTCCAAACACAGGCCTGTTTTGCAGTTCTGTTTGTGAGGCAGGATTGTGATGTCAGTGGTGGAAGCACTGCCCGACTTTGTTCCTCCTGCTCCCATCCCTGGGACACTGCACTCAAGAGAACCATGTCTCCTTAGGCCGTGGACCTCCTGCTGACGTCTTTCTGTCAGAACCTGATGACAGCGTCCAGTGTGGCTCCTCCAGAGAGGTGAAGGCACGGGTGTCTCCCGGGGGGTGTGGGGCTGCTTTGGGTGCCCCCTCCTGCTGGGCCATGGCCACAGGCCAGGCACGCATGAGCTCGGCTCTGCGGGAGCAAGCCCCCCCATGCTGAGTTTGGTCAAACAGGACACAGCAGAATTCAGGAAGCACCGTGGAAGATGGGTTGTCTTCCAGAAAGACTATTGCTTTGGCGAACCGCCTGGCTCTTTCTTGGGCCCGTGGTGCCTGGATTAGCCATTGGAGGGATGTGTGGGACTAAATGCCCAGTGCTGATGGTTTCGTGGTTGTCTCTGCAGGCAGGGGCCCTGGGCCACCCTCTTGGTGAGGACCATGTGTGGACACGTGCTCCCTGCAGTGCTCACCCGGCTCTGCCAGCTGCTCCGTCACCAGGTGAGCCCCTGCTTTACATGGGGCACCCTTGGGGGCTTGCTCTGAGGGCCAGGCTGCTGCTTCCTGGCTCGTCTTTAGTGCCCTGGAAAATTCCAGCTGGGAAGAGGGTGACTGGGAAGAGGGCTGTCTGCTCTGCCACCCTAATTCTCATTGCAGGGCCCGAGCCTGAGTGCCCCCCATATTCTGGGCTTGGGTGCCCTGGCCGTGCACCTGGGTGAGTCCAGGTCTGCGCTCCCGGAGGTGGATGTGGGTCCTCCTGCTGCCACGGTGGGCCTTCCTGTGCCCGAGCTCTTTGAAAACCTCCTGACCTGTAGGACCAGGGGTTCCTTGCTCTTCTGCCTGAAGTGAGTTGTTCTTCTTCCCAGTTGCGTCTTCTCTCCTCTCTCCAGAAAAGTGGCACATGCTTGTCTGATGAAATTAGAAGGGACAGACATGGGACATACTACCCAGAGATAACTTTTTAGCATTTTGGTATATATCCTTCCAGAATTTTATCTGTCATGTGTTAATAATTTGCCTGCGTTTGTTTCTTTGTTCATAAAAATGGGATCATACTATACTATACTAAATTGCTGAAATTAATACTGCTACTAAAATTAATAGTAGATAATAACTGTCCACATTGTGGGGCGTTCTTTGGTGTCCTGGTGAGAGCTCTCTTTTGTCTTGGGGTTGTCTGGCACTTGGTTGGACCAACTCCCTCTGGTCAGGTAATTGGGCACCCCGTGGTGAGCAGGTCCCAGTGTTCCACACCTTGGACTGTTCCTCTAGGGCTCAGCAGTTGGGGGCCATATGCTTAGGTGGAGAATGGTCTGCTCAGGGCCTCAGGACCTCACTTCAAGTGCAATGCATAGGCAGAGGCCAGGACAGAAGGCTGGGAGACTCCAGTGGGAGTTCCTGGCTGGGGCTGGGCTTGTAGCTCCTGGGTCCTTGTGCAGAAGCAGCCCAGGTCAGGACAGAAGCCCTGTTGCGATACTGCAGATCCTCTGGGGGAAAGGGGGCAACTGGCATTATGACAGGGTCTGGACAACAGAGGACTAGGAAGGGGCCCATGAAATATACGTAGAGCTAGAAGAGGGAGTCAGATGGCAGCTGTGTGGATCCCCCACCCTCAGACATAGGCCATGGGATGCAGGCCCTCAGCCCTCTGGGGGTACAGAGCCCATCCCAGGCTCTTGGCCACAGCACACAGTCCTCATTTGCCTCAGGGCCCCCAACACTGAGTGCTGGGTATTGGTGTGAGAGGCACACAACCGATGGAGAAATCGGGAGCTGGTGAGGAGGGGGGTGTCCAGGTGGCTTGGGGCAGACAGGGCGCGTCCCATCTTAGGAACACAGAGGTGCCTTATATGTATTCAAATGAAGAAAGCAAACTACTGAATTCTGTCTCAGATGCTACTTTTGGCATAAGAAAGGAGGGGAGGATGAAATACATCTATTTGGTGGTTTTTGTTTTTTTTGAGACAGAGTGTTGCTCTGTTGTCTAGGCTGGAATGCATTCATGGCTCACTGCAACCTCTGCCTCCTGGGTTCAAGCAATTCTCATGCTTCACCTTCCTGAGTAGCTGAGACTACAGGTGTGTGCCTCCATGTCCAGCTAATTTATGTATTTTTAGTAGAGATGGAGTTTTGCCATGTTGCTTAGGCTGGTCTTGAACTCCTAATCTCAAGTGATCTGCGCACCTTGGCCTTCCAAAGTGTTAGGATTGCAGGTGTGAGTCTCCATGTCTGGCCGAAATATGTATTTGTGAAACAGAAATACTAGAACTCTTAAGAACACCAAGACGGTGCAGTGGCTCACACCTGCAATGCCAGCACTTTGTGAGGCCGAGGCGGGTGACTCATGAGGTCAGGCGTTGGAGACCAGCCTGGCCAATATATTGAAACCCCATCTCTACTACAAATATAAAAATTAGCCAGGCATGGTGGCAGGCACCTGTAATCCCAGCTACTGAGGAGGCTGAGGCAGGAGAATCACTGGAACGTGGGAGGCAGAGGTTGCAGATTGCGCCACTACACTCCAGCCTGGGCAGCAGTGCTAGACTCTGTCTAAAAACAGAAACAAAACACCATGACAGCAACTTCCTGCTGGGATGATCGCCCCGTCTCCTTTGCCTCATGGAATCTCATTTTTCACATGGGTATTGCTGTATTTACTTATATATGAATACATGACACAAGGTCTCACTGTGTCACCCAGGCTGGAGTATGGTATAGCGATCCTGGCTCACTGTGGCCTTGATCCCCCAGGCCCAAGCAATCGTCCTGGCAGCTGAGAGTGCAGATGCACACCCCCACACCCAGCTACTGAGAGATAGGGTCTCACCGTGTTGCCCAAGCTGGTCTTGAACTTCTGGGCTCAGGTGATCCCCTGAGCTGTGATTATGCTACTGCACTCTAGCCTGGGCATCCAATTAAGGCCCTGCATCAAAGAAAAAATAAACCAAGGACTGGGCTGGGCACAATGGCTCACGCCTATAATCCCAGCACTTTGAGAGGCTGAGGCAGGTAGGTCACTTGAGGTCGGGAGTTTGACACCAGCCTGACCAACATGGTGAAACCCTGTCTATACTAAAAAAAAAAAAAATACACAAATTAGCTGGGCTTGGTGGCAGATGCCTGTAATCTCAGCTACCTGGGAGGCTAAGGCAGGAGAATTGCTTGAACCCAGGAGGGAGAGATTGCAGTGAGCTGAGGCAGTGCCACTGCACTCCAGCCTGGGTGACAGAGTGAAACTCAGTCTTCAAACAAACCAAAACACCAAGAACTGATGCTCCAGCCATCCGCTTTAGAATGCACTAAATTCAGTTTCGTGAAATTCAAAGTTATTTCTCCCTTCATCGCTGATTTTGTGTGAAGCACATTTATCCATTATAATTTCCGTTTTCAGGTTTTGTACAGCAGCAATTTCTTACTCTCTGTGCAAGTTTCCCTCCCAGTCACTTGGTGTCTTGTGCAGCTGCTTATCTTCAGGCCTTATTAAAAAGGTAGGTTCCCTTGTTTTCTGTTTTTTCATTCTGCTCTGAGTGTCAAGTTTGCACAGCTTTCTGGCTGGAAGCTGAGGTCTCCCGCCACTTTGCGCTGATCTCAGGGGAGCTCCGGGGTCAAGCTGTCACGGCCACCTCTGCTGTCTGTGCTCAGCACTGCCTTGTCCTCTGCTCTGAGTGTAAAGGGAAATTGTATGAAGACAGCTGCAAGTCTGTAGTCATAAGGAAACAGATGTTGGTATTTATCACATGAGGGAATTGAAAGATCAGTATTCATAAAAAGTATCTTTTCCAGTAAAGAAGAATTCTCATTTTTCTCATCTACTAAACGCTCCTTATGTTGATCAGGACAGAGGAATTTAAAGATGAGCATTGGAAACCCTGAATGTCAAAAGCAAGGGTGAAATTGCACTGCAAACTAGTGTTGTCCTTTCATAGGATTTTTATAAACGTATTGTTTATTAAATAGTGGTTTTCAGGCCGGTTGTGGTGGCTCATGCCTGTACTCCCAGCATTTTGGGGGGCCAAGGCAGGTGGATCACGAGGTCAGGAGTTTGAGACCAGCCTGGCCAACATGGTGTAACCACGTCTTTACTAAAAATACAAACATTAGCTAGGCGTGGTGGTGCATGTCTGTGGTACCAGCTACGAGGGAGGCTGAGCAGGAAAATTGCTTGAAGCTGGGAAGCGGAGGTTGCAGTGAGCCGAGATCACAACGCAGAGTGAGTCTCCGCCTCAAAAAAAAAGACAGCGGTTTTCAACTGCAGGCTTCACAACATTAGAATCAACTAAGAAGCTTTTGAAACTACAGATACCTGGCGCCTTCCCAGATAAATTAATTCGGAATCTAGGAGTAGCCCCTGAGGATCCAGGGCGCACGTATTTACAGTGATTTCCTATGAGGAGCTTTGTCCCAGGTGCCAAGTTTTTAAAGAAAACATGGAATTGGAGCTTAGAAGAAGCCAGCCGGTCCCCACCCACCGCAGCCCTTTTGAGCTGTTGTGGGCTGGTTATGAACCCAGCAGGCAGCCTCATCTGCTTGGGGCAGAGATGGACGCAGTGATGCAGCACTGGTAGCCTGTTTCGCTTGTCCAATTCGTGTGCATTTTTGGTGGGAATGCCATCCCTGGCAGAGCCCTAGAGATTGGCGGTTTCACTGCTTCCTGACATTTAGCCCAGGGAAGCAGGTAGGTGGCAGGAACGTCTGCACACAGGCTAGATCACTGGAGCACTGTGCACGGCCACAACCACTGAGGGGCTCTGCGCCCTCCCAGGGGCTGGACTGAAGTTCCCTGAACGTGGGGTTGTGTGTGTGGCATGGCTGTTGATGGTCTGTTTGCACCTGAGCATTTTCTTAGCCACTCACGGTGAAACTTGCCTGATGAAGAAACTGCCGGGTCTGTTTCAGTTTCAGTTCCTTGTGCTCAGATTATTCCCAGAGGCCCGACAGCCTCTTTCTCAGAACGCAGCCAGCCTTTCCTGGAGACCCTTGTATCTACCTTCTGCAGACTGGCAGAGAGCTGCCCTCTCTCTCTGGACACACAGAACCTTCCGAGAGCTGTTAAAGGAGGACGATGTTCAGGTAGGTGACCCTTTCTTTTCCCTGCATGGTGCCACGTCCCAAGTCTAGGGTCTGTGTGTGCAGACTGTCTTCTCTGAGGCAAGAACAGCAGCACTTAGGAGATTTGATTGGAATTTTGACTGAGATTGTTGTGGTTTCATGTGCAGCTGTCACGAAATGATAATGAGATGGCATGGTGCTCACACCTGTGATCCCAGCACTGTGGGAAGCCAAGGCAGGTCGGTCACCTGAGTTCAGGAGTTCAAGACCAGCCTGGGAAACATGGTGAAACCCCATCTCTAAAAACAAAAATGCAAACATTAGCTGGGCGCAGGGGTGTGCACCTGTTACTCCAGCTACTCAGGGGGCTGAGGTAGGAGAATCGCTTGAGCCTGGGAGGTGGAGGTTGCAGTGAGCCAAGATTGCGCGACTGCACTCCAGCCTGGATGACAGAGTGAGACCCTGTCTTAAATAAATACGTAGGATAGATAGATATGCTGTCATACTTTCCCATTGTCTCCCAACACAAACTTCTTTTTTTATTCTTATTTATTTTTTGAGATAGTGTCTCACTGTATCACCCAGTCTGGAGTACAGTGGTGCAGTCTGGGCTCACTGCAGCCTCTGCCTCCTGGGTTCAAACAGCTCTCATGCCTCAGCCTCCTGGGTGGCCGGGACTACAGGCACATGCCACCACGCCTGCTAATTTCTGTATTTTTAGTAGAGATGAGGTTGTCTGGGCTGGTCTTGAGCTCCTGATCTCCAGTGATCTGCACGCCTTGGCATCCCAAAGTGCTGCCATTACAGGCATGAGCCACCACGCCTGGGAAGTTCTTCTTTCTGTTTTTTGAAATAGAGTCTCGCTGTGTCGCCAGGCGCCATACTGGAGTGCAGTGGCATGATCTCGGCTCACTGCAATCTCAGCCTCCCGGGTTCAAGCAAATCTCTTGCCTCAGCCTCCAAAGTATCTGGGACTACAGGCACGCACCACCATGCCCAGTTAATTTTTGTATTTTTAGTAGAGACGGGGTTTCACCGTGTTGGCCAGGGTGGTCTCGATCTCTTGACTTCGTGATCTGCCTGCCTTGGCCTCCCAGAGTGCTGGGATTACAGGCTTGAGCCACCGCGTCTGGCTGGGAAGCTCTTTTAAACATGTCGGCCAGGCTCTGTGGTGGCCATTCGGCATCTCTAGGCTCGCCCCTGTGCATCTGATTAGTGGGAGCTGGTGCTGCCCTCACCAGTGTGCCTCGGTACTATTTATTTCCTAGGATGTTTTCCTGATTAACTATATTAGCTACACAAAAGTATGATGCCCTGTTTTAGTGTAAGGAATGATGGGCAGGCACAGTGGAAAAGAAGAAAGAAGGATGAGGCAGTGAACAGCTCTGTACCCACCAGCAGCTCGGAGGGAATTGTCCTGCCTTTGGGGCACTGGCAGCACCCTCCCTTAGCCGTGCCACGTCAGTGGGTGTCCTGTGCAGAGCACTGCAGCTCTGGTCTCACCCAGACGGAGCGTGTGCTGGTCTGTGTGTGTCCTGCGCAGACACTGCAACTCTGGTCTGACCCAGACGGAGCGTGTGCTGGTCTGTGTGTGTCCTG